TTTATCTTTGTTCAAAGGTATTAAATTTGCTGTTAATTTCACAGATTTCTAATAGTTACCAGTTTCTGTAGTTCAGTTTCATGACTAAATTTACAAATTAAAAAGTGTTGGTGTATTTAAGCATGAGTGGGTGGTGTTTGTTTAAGTTAAATATGTTTACTTCAGCTATGTGAAGACTTGGTAAATAGTGTTTGACAGTTCCTGTGTACTGATTTGGGGGATCAAGAGTTATTTGTCGGTAAAATCCATTGTGAGGTAAGCTTTGCAGATCAGCTGCAAAGAGGTTGGAGGGCTGGTTGCTTTGTTTTGTTTTTTTGTTTTGTTTTAAAATCTTGATGAATCCAGCTATATTTTCACAGAGAGCCTTAGTCCATCATTCCAAATAGCTGTGCATGGTGCATTGCTGTACCTAATCACAGCCTACTGAGTGGAGTTTACCACTGCTCCAGCTCTGCCAGTGATAAAATCTCATGACTGCTTTAATCCCCTTCACTTGGAAGGGAGAGGTTTTAGCTGAGGGATACCTGTTAGAGGGAGTAAAAACAACCTGTCTGCACTTGTCTCAAGCCAGTTAGTGGTCCCATCAGCAAGTGGGATTGGGAAGAACAGTATTTGGCATGGTGGTGAAAGGCTAGATGCATTTCTCTCATCAGTTGCCACTACTTGTTCCAGAAGGTACACCTGCGGTCTGGGAGGTAGCTGAAAAATGGGAGTGGTTTCTGTAACTTCCTATTGCTGATGAGCTGCAAACTAGAACAGAAGGTTGTTGCTTCATTGTCCAAATTCTGTAAACGAAATACTCATTCAGATTCCATTAAGGAATATTTCAGAGTTTTTAGCAATTATTTGATGAATTGTGTTGTCTGGATTAGAGACAAAACTGTAAATTGTGTATGTGCTGTTAGCATATAGTTTCAGTTGTGCCCTCTGGAATACATGAAATAGAATTTTTTACTTTGTGCTAGGAGCAAACCTAGTTTCCAAAAGACCCAGACAGTCATTACCTGATCTTGCTTACTGGAAAGAAGGTGCAGTCTTGTACACATAGTTTGTTCTTCAAGATAGGTAGATTTGTATCGTGGTAAAGGTTATAGAATGACCAATGCAAACATGTAGAGTGCAGTACTGTGCACAAGTGCATGAGTGGAGGCTCAGGACAGCATTAGCATTTAATTCCAGTTCATTTTGCTGGTAGATTCTAAGACTGCAATTCTAAACTAAGGGTTGAGGCTTTCTTACCCACTGTGTTAATTTTTAAATTTAATTTCCGTGCCACTTGTCAGAAATCCATGAACAATGGTTTTCTAACAAAACATTCAATAGTGACTTCAATTGAAGTTTGAAGTATTGAGGATGAAACATTAATCATGTGTGCCAGGGACATAGAAGCAGATTAGCGGGGTTTTGGAGTTTGATTGGGTTTTGGGTTGGTTGTTTTGGTTGGGGTTTTTTGTTTGTTTGTTTGGGTTTTTTTTGCAAGCTAGGAAATAGTGGCCTGATAATCCCTTGTGGTGGAAAGCTCTAGCAGACATTCATAATTAAGATGTGCACAGCTTGTTGCTCTGTCCCTGTGATGTCCATGGACAAATCAGGGTATCTCTTTGGTAATAGGGTGGGAGAGGTTGTTGCCCAAATTTTAAATATAGAATTGTGTAAAAAGAAAGATATTTTCCTATAAACTCTTAGGCAAACATATTATAGTCCTTTATTTAAGTGAGCTAAGTACCTTAAATATGGAAGTGCTCTTATGAAATAGTGGTTTTATCTTAATTTATACAATCATTTTTGGTGAACCCCTACTCCTACACAGTAGAACTGTGTAAGTTTCTGAAAGGGAACCTGTTTGAATGTATCAAAGAGTTGATACATTCTAACATACAAAATTGAATTTATTCAGTTTTAGTTGAAAATAACATATCTTTTTCCTGGGAGTTTTTTCATAGGTTGGAATCTCAGTAGGGTGGTATGGTGTAGGTTTTTTTGCTTGTTTGTTTAGTTTTTAATTTCTATTTTTTTAAATTAGGTGTTTTGACTCGTTTTTCACTTCAGAGCAGTGTTTTGCTACCTAGTTCTATCACTGATAGGAATGTTAGTGTGGGGAGCCTGACACTTTCTGTCAGATGTTTTTGTCTCTTCTTCATAGCAGATCTAAATTAATTTTTGGAGATGTTCTGGAGGTTTTCCAAGTCCTTCACTACTCCCCTTGGGCATTTAAGGGAACTAGTGAGCACAGACGTAGTGGAAGACGTAGTGGAAAAACTGTGATGAACACAGGACAGTTAGTCATAAGGGGTTGTTATTTTGTAGTAACTGTCATCTCCTACAGTTTTGTGTGTTGAGTACAATTTTATGATACAACTGAGCCAGTCCAATGGCTTTTTGCCACAAAAAGCTCCCTCTTCCCCACACCCACGGTTTTACAAAGAAAGACACTGAAAGACACAGCAGTCAGTTCTGGCATTTGTCGATCTTTCTTCCTCAGTCAGTTCAGTTGAATAACTGGTTGGATTTGATTTTTGCCTAAAGGAAAAAACAGCTTTTTGCAAAATTAATGTGCCAGTTTGGCTAATAGAGGAGCCTGATTAGTGCAAGAACAACAGTTTTGGGAGAAGGCATGGTACTTCTTCTGGCAATGAACAGTTCGGTCATCTCAGCTGCAGTGAAAGATGATGGCAGGTGATCAGTAGCAAACAGGTTTTATTTCTGTCCTTTATGTGCTTTTTAAAGAGGTAGACTATAAATCAGGAGCTGTGCAGTCAGAGCAAGAATTCTGAGAAATGGTGGATTCTCCAAGCTATTGGAGAAGTTTAAGATAGCAATTGGATGCTACAATACATGGGTTTTGGCGGTGGGGGTTGTTTGTGTTTGTTTTTTTTTGCTCAAGGCCTCCCCTACCAATTAGAAGATGTTCAGTCATGTAATGCAAAACAAGAAGTGTAGTAGAAGTTTATCCTGCTGGTTTAATTTTTTTTTTTTTAATATTAGTATTAGCTTTTTATTGATAGACTCCTTTCCAGAGCATGTATGAATCTGGCACAGAAGTAAAAACTTACGCTCTATAATGTGATAGAAGCATGATTGTCAGTTCTCACCTCTAGTCTGAATTAGATAAGTAAATGTACAGTTCTAGGGTTAATAACAAGTCAGGATAGGACCAGAAGAACAGGCAAATGAATTTCAATTAAGCTTTTTAAAAGGATCTATGCTAAAGTATTGAGAAATTACCTGCTCCTTGATTTGCTATGCTAATACTTTCAGGTAATCGTATGTGAGCTCTTATCTGTGAAATTAAGCTTCCAAAGTAGTGTAACTCAATTAAAACATATTTTTGCATTTAGGTTATCTGAGTTTTTGCTGCAATGGCTGCCATTTCATGCTAGTACTTGTCAGAGTTGGGCTGGTTTGTTAAGCTGCCAGGAGACTAACCAAAATGTATAATTTCCTGCTCAGTTATCAAGCTGAAGTAGCTCATTATGGGCTGAGTGACAATACCAAAGCAGGAAGGAAGGTGAGGCCATACATGAATGATTTAATTTCCTTGCACTGTCCTGATACTGTATTCTTAATGCTTTTCCCCACAAATTTGGAGAATTTGGAGATGGTAATTTCTGCAATTTTTAGGAGCCTCTCCCTAGTCCGTGTTATTTAAAAAGAAAAAAAATTGTTTTAAGTACAGTTTAAGAGGAACCCTAGTTATGCAAGATAAGATATTTGAATAGTTGCTGAAGGATATGTTTATTTATAGTGGTCCATATGCATACGTATTGACTAAATAATCATATTTTATACTATTAGTCTTAATTTTCTGCATAGAGATGGCTTGGAATACAGGGTAGGGTAACGTAAGACCTGAAATCCCAGTGACTAAATAACTGATATGAAAAACCGTTTTCTCTGACCCCCATCTTTTTCAAATTTGCATAGCATGTATTCCTTGCTAACAACTTTGTATGTACCCAGTCATAGCGTTTCATTTTATAGAGTGCCTGGATACTTCCAGTACAAGAAAAGATCTCTAGTAAAAATAATGGAAAACACTATGTCTGTAAGTAGCTGTAAGAAAAAAACATATAGCTGTAAGCAGCTGTAAGAAAATTTAAATTTTATTGTAATATTGCTACTATATCATTGTGCATATTTTATTTGAAAATAAAAGCATGCCATGATTGCATGCACAAGTGATAATTAGCTTTGTTCCCTACATCGGTTCTGAAATATCATTGTAACTTCTGTGATGTAAAACAGTTAAGCATCCACCTGTTTAATACCTATCAATCTGTCTGTTTCCGTGTATAATAATCAAAATCCAGTAATTATAGTTCAGTAAGTGAACATTACTTGGCTCACTTTAGAGGCAGTACAACTTCATATTCTGTTGTGAATATGTCATTATCTCTCTCTAACAACTTAATCAGTGTTGCTGTGCTTTTTTTGTTTTTGTGTTAAGTGGGAATAATAATCACTAGATTAAAAAAAAACCCTTGATTTTTAATTTGTTTTCAGATATCAGTGTTTAGTTGTTTTTTTTTTAAATTGAAATCAAGTGAAAATATTTCAGTCTTTTACAGTTTACATTTATTAAGATCATTTGTGTTAAGTGTTGCATTCTTTCTTTTGGAAGGAATTTGCCATATCTGTTTTATGTGGATTCTAGTTGAGTAGAACTTGACAGACAGTGAATTGATTTTTGAAATGTACTGGCTCTGAACATTACTGTGCTTGAGAGAGAGAATCTGAATTAGGCCATCACAAACTAAAGAGAGCTCTCTTATTTCCTCTTTTATAGTTTGTATTGCTACCACTTGGTAGTACCTAGCTTCCAGTAAAGTGGTTAGTTGCTTCAGAACAATTTGAGTGCTAAATAAATTCATGCAGGAAATATTTGTTTGGCTTTGAAAGTATATTCAACAGTTGCTAGTGCGTAACATAGAAAAGCAATGAAGTTCTTTACCTTTTCCTTAATATGAGCAGTATTAATTACATTCTTCCCTTTTCTCTAGTTAAGGTACCTCGTAATTTTCGCTTGTTGGAAGAACTTGAAGAAGGGCAGAAAGGAGTGGGTGATGGTACAGTAAGCTGGGGCCTTGAAGATGATGAAGATATGACACTCACCAGATGGACAGGAATGATTATTGGGCCACCAAGGGTAAGTGTGATGAATTAAAATGTTTTTCTTAAGTTTGTAGGCCATACAAAATGCAAAAATGTTACTTTGCTACAGTGTAAAGGAATTAGTTAAAATCCAACGCATGAAGTTGTAGAAACACTGTATATTCATGTTAGAATTCATCACTTCGTGGCATGTTAGTAAGTGTTTTCAGGCTAGCCTCCCCTAGTAGATGTTTCTGCAGCTGCCTGTATAAGCCATTTGTGAATTGAGACTTATTACTGAGCTAGGAATGTATTCACTCTGTATTTCCTCCATTGCTGCATTTAAGTGTACAGTAAGTGATAGTGCAATAAACAGGGTAACTATCTTTCTGCAACGTATCATATGTGCCTGGTAATTTCAATTTTGTAGTGAACTAGCAATGTATTTTCAACTTTGACAAGTTCTCTCAAATAGTCCGTTCAGTTGTCGCGGATGAAAGTATTGACACGGTAATGATTTAGTAAAAATAATCTAGATTTATTAATAACTAACAACAATTTGTCAATACAAAATAACTCAGAAAGAAAAGTGACTTATTCAGATTCTAAAATGTCAAGATTCACTCTAACTTACTTAACGATATCTTAATTTATACATATATATACATGCGCATACACAAACCAGACATATACATACAGAAACAAAGGTAACTGAATTCAGTAAAATGAACACAAAAGGGACAAACACACCCAGCCAATGACCAGGTGAACTAGAAGCTAGCTCAAAGAAAATTTCCCTCTCGAGTTTAGAGCAAATACTCACAATGCCTTGGCATTCCTCAATGGGCGATAATTGAGACTCAAGCGGGTGGAATTCACCCTGGCCTTCCGTCTGGAGCAGACGATACCTTAAGGGTTTTGGTACCTGAGAGGCGTCCCAACTCAGGGGAGATGCTGGTCACAGGCCCACTGCTATTCAGAAGAGCTCAAAGGGTCTCTCTGGTGGTCGCAGTTTATAGGGTCCAAGTTACTAAATCATTACCGTGTCAGTACTTTCATTTGCGACATCAGTATAGCAGATTATGCATTTCAGTTGAATCATGCCTAAAGACCAAACAATTTTTCATTCCCTCTAATAAGATAAAATACATACAAGTTCAAATCCGTCTGACCTTTTCAGCTATGTAGAGTATAATCTAGACTGATAAAACCTGCAAGAGAAGTAATCATCTCTTGTGTCTTGGTATAAGCCTCATGAGATGTGAATGGACACATCTTTACTTGACTTTCATGCATGCTCTCTCGTAAGTTAAATACGATTCAAAAGATCACTGTGTAAATGAGAACTTTAAATGAGTATACTTCAGGTAGCTTTAAGTTAGGCATAAGTTAGCATATGTCTTTCACTACTAACGTGAAGTTACTATCTTGTGTGTCCTTCAGTGCTGTAGTGCTTATTGGAGGAACTATCCCAGACAAGAACAGAGATCAGAAGCTGGCCTCGGTGAAGATGTCTTTCAGAGTAACACAGTTCCAGAGTCAGAATCAGTGTAATTCAAGGTCCTTTTGGAAGTCAGTTAGTTGCAGCTTAGGGCAGACTGTTTTGAACGTGTGCATAATTGTGCTGAGCTCCTAGGATCTGGGTGCATTTGAGAAAGAACCAGTTGAAAATGCAAGCATAATTACAGTATGTTTTGGATACCAGCTTCTGTGGAATCACAGTGTTTGAATACATTTTGAAGAAAGTTTGTAGTCTTAGGGGTTTTAAAAATAACTTACAAATGTGAACTAAATAAAGTAGTGTCTCCCTGACTCTCCAAACAGCCTCCAGAACTGCCTGTGGCTGATTTCTGGTAACACATCTTTAAAAGGAATGATTATTATGTAGGAGCTCATAGGTTTTAAAAGTAAAACAACAACAACAACAACAAACCAACCTGGAACGGACTTTTAATTTTGGTCAGTTTGTATTGCTGTCATTTTACTTTCTTTGTGAAAGAGTGCATGTGAGTAATACTTTGGGCCATTTCAGGGACATGTAGTCTTGGTGTTAGAATGACTTGCAGTATGTGGAGATTGTAGAAAGTGAAAACCACCAGCTCCCAAGTCAGTGGTGGCACTTTAAGAAGAATCGCATATCCAGTTTCAGGGTTTGTAGAAGATGTTTTTGGAATTGGCTGAGTTATGTAGACAGTGTGCAGTTAGGCAGAACACAGGAAAAGTTGCTAATACTGTCCACAGCATGATGTTCTTCACATACATGGCTTCTCTAGAGCTGTACAAAAATTGCTTATCAATTCTTTTTACTTGCTTCATTTGAAACGTGAACCTACAAGGAAGGAGAAAGGGAAGATTTATTTTGGATTAAAGGAAACATTTTTCTGACCCCCCAAAAATGGGGTTTTAGGCTTTTTAGAGAGCTGGACAGGAGGAGGTACTTGGCTTGCAGTAAAACAGCAACTTGAAAAACTGAGCAAAATTGAGAAGCCACTTGGATAGTTATAAGGGAATGAGAATGAGTGCTGTTCTTAAGATTTTTCAGAGTTGTGAGCAGTGTCTATACATTTTGACCTATTTCACTATAACTGATATCCACACTCTCTGGGGAAATGGATTGTTTTATCTGAGTGAATAACGAGAATTTTTGTTACTGTTTTTCTTGCGGTGGCAGCAGCTATGTTATCTGTAGCAGGACAAGATTATTTTTATTTGGCCTTTAGCTTTTTAACAGTAAAGAATAATAGAAAGCCCTTTTTCTAACAAAGGACGTCCTGCTTCACCTTGTGTCTTTCTGACTCACTGTTCAGTCTCTGCATCTTCTCAAAATTATAGGACACAGCTAGGGTGCTTCAGTAGTCCGACTTTCACTCTGCCTTTTCATTGGCCAGAGTGGACTGTTATTTGATAACTTGACTGCATGGTTGATACTTTTACTTAGAGAGAATGACAGCTGGCTGATGCAGAACAGCTTAAAGATGGTGTTTCTAGAAAGTTCAGAGGCATGTTGCTGCTTTTGGTTCATGTTAGCTATATCTGTCATGCCAGTGGGAAGACAGGTGTAGAAACTGGGTTTATTTTCCTTTTGGAGCGGAGGTACGTGCATCAGTGACCAGCAAAGCCACTGATACTTTTTATTGTGAATGACATACTTGACAAGATTAAAACAAACAAAAAAATAGAACTGTATTAATTTCTGATTGGACTTTCTCAAAATATATTTGCACTTTGGAGTGATGTTACCTGCAAACTAGCTGTCACTTTACTGTCTGAAGTTTGTAAATCCTCTAGTAAACCAAGCAGTCCTCAGCTATGGAAGTCTTGGATGTCTTCTGGAGTGTCAATTACTTCCAGAATGATTTTTGCAAATATTGTTTTCTTCTGGTTCTTGGTTGTGTCTTAACTATTCAGTTATTGGCATCTTTGTCTTTCTCCGTTTCCATTTTTTTCACAGTGTTAGATTTTTACTTTTTTTTTTTTTACAGGGGAGAGTGGTAATTTTCCTAAAGATGATTGATTTTCTCTCAGACTTCTACTGTGCCAGAGTTGTTTTGGGAATGCACATGGGTAGGAAGGATAAGAGTAAATGTGAATCAAAAAAAGAGTTGCATTCTGTTTAAAAATTTTGTATGGTATAGTGAATAAGTAGTGTATTTTATACATATTCATCAAATAATCAATATAATCAAAACAGTGGAATATCAATCAGTAATCCAAGACCATCAGTTGATAGATAATATTAACAGATTTATTATAATTTTCTGTTTCTTGATCTTTATTCCTCTTGACTTTGCTTTGTTTTTTTAAATTTATCTATCAATACTCAGCTTTCAGTAAGATGCATTAGTCTGTCTTTTTGCTTTCTAGACAAACTATGAAAACAGAATATACAGTCTGAAAGTAGAGTGCGGACCTAAATATCCAGAAGCACCTCCTACAGTTAGATTTGTAACTAAAATTAATATGAATGGAATAAATAATTCCAATGGAATGGTAAGTTGAAATGGTAAGATCAACCATGTTGTTAATCTGTACTATAAATTATTTCTGTGAAAAACCCAGGTGAGGAATATGCATGTTGGACAGAGCTTTCACATTTAAATTTTACAATATAAGTATTTGGTTTAAATAAAATTTTAGTTGTCTATTACTTCAAATCTTTAGGTATTTACAGTATGTTAGTGGTTTTTAATGGCTGATCAGTGAGACGAGCATTATTTATAATATTGCAACAGTTGTTTCTTTTAAATGAAGCTGAAGATTTTAGTTTTGAACAGAAAAAACTTGTCTGAGCTGCATGGAGGAGGGGATTAGATTCATACTGTAACAGGAGTATTACAAACTGTCTGATGTGTCCATTAATTAAAACCATAGGTCATTCCCGATGTATCTCACTCTGGATATAATAACTCACCTGTAATGAACTGGTGTATTTAAACTCTTACTCTCTTTATACTGAGTTTATTCAAATCCAGGGTGATTCTGAGCTTCAGTCTTAAGATCTTTTGATACAGATGGTAATCGCTTTCATTTTAAAGATCAGTTTGCAGTAAATTACTTTCACTGATCATACACTTAGGGTGGGATGAGTTCATATACATGAGTAATGGCAGAAGCTCAAGCAAGTTTGCTACTCCGTTATTCACTAGGTGTTTTAATCCTGTAAGTCTAAGATAACCCACTGCTCAGTGGAAAGAGATGTGAGCTGTCTTGCATTTACAGTAGTGTATACACATATCAGCAGGAAATACCATAATATATAATATTGTATGTGTGTACATTTGTCTTTACTGAATGCAAAGTAATTGGTTAAGGTAATACAGATGAATCAGAGAGCATCTTTGGATTTTAAATAATTTGCAAGATTTAAGGATGGACGTGCATTTGTGTAATTAACAGTACTGAAATGTGAAGCTTAGTATCTTAATGACTTTAGCAGAGGGAGAGGTTCTCAGGGGTTTGTCTGAGCTGTTGTAGGTGGTAGTGTAGTGTACTAGTTGGTCATCCAAAGCCAGTGCACTAACACTTCAGAAATAATCTAGCATTAATTTGAAAGTACGTCTTGCAATAGCCAACAATTTTACTTTACCTGAAGATCTTACTAAAATTTCAGTCTACAAATTAGCCATTGCCCTTCATCACAACTGTGGCTTGTTGCCTATATATATATATGTTTGTTAAGAGGTTGTAACTAGCAAAAGCTGCCAATTTGGAATGGAGCAGAGCTTTTGGTGTTTTGTAATACTATTTTCACACCTCTCCCTTGTATTGTAACATATTATTGTAAATCAGTAAAGTATGTGCTCATTGCTTCATCTGTGCATGCCTGAGAGTATAGGTGTTGGTTTCCAGAAGCAGAATCTCAGACTTGCAGAGCCTGAAGGCTCATGTTTACTGGGTTTTAGATTTTGTTTGGAGAAGTCTATGCTCCCTCAGCTTGCTGAGTAACAGGGTGAATACTGTGACAGATCTGCCTGGCACTTTTAAAAGCACTGTTAAAATCCAGTCTTCGCTACAGGAAAATTTGTTTTCGGTAAATTTATAAACTTACACAAAACCTTCATTCAATTTTTCCCCAACAGTTCTATAAACTAGTATATTCTATGGAGGATTTGCTATGCAAATGCATAACTTTTTTAAAAAAATGAATTTAAATAGGACTAGATAGTATTTTTAATGCAAGTAATTTTCATAATTAATGAATTTAAACCATGTTTATTATGTAATTTTTAATGTGCCCATTGTCCCGGTATCTTGCATTTTAGCTTATTTCATCATTGTACTTAGTAGTGCTGGGCTCACTAGAATGTGTCAGATAAACTGGGGGCATGTTCAGCATCCTGGAACAGTTCACAGTGCTGCTTCCTGTTTTAGTTCCTTCTTTTTTCTTCCAGGTTGCTCTGCCACTTTGTGTCTGCCTTTCATTTAATAGTTCATAAACTGTTTGCTGCATTCTTTGAATGAATGACAGGGTTTCATCTTCAGACAAGCTCTACCATCCATGATGCTTCTGCATGCACTCTGTTTTTTGACATGTGGCCAGCTTTTGATCACATTGCTTATAGATGTCATGAAAAAGTTGATGACTTACAGAAAAGAGACCTGAGATAAACAGCAACCGAAATTGTATGTTGTAGCAATATTATCATACTACTCAAAACTTATGTAAAGTTGCTAAGGTACTCTTTACAGATGGGTGAAGGTTAACACCTGAGGAAAAGTAGGGCCCCCAGCATGAGTTTAGAGGGTAATAATTTCTGTTGAGTTGAAGTGCGAATGATGGAGGGGGGAGACGGATATGTGCTAGAGTGACCAGGGTTCTAAGGAACCTAGTCTCATACTGCCTTGTTGGCAGTGGTTCTCAGCCTTCTTGGCTTACAAGTCCCTTTACACTTTGCACGAAAAGTGCACACGTGTAAAGAATTTATCAATACTGACAGTTACAAGTTTATTGACTTTCTGCTTGATTATTCCAAGAGAGGAGTTTTGCTTGTAACTTTTCCATCACCAGCATATCTTTATGGATCCCAGAGATTGCTGTTTGATAAATACAGTGCAAGAAAGGAGAGGGCTACTTCAGGAGTATATTATCTCAAAAGACTTAAGTTTAGGTGCTCTGAGTCACCCTCTTAAGTTGCCTTCCTTTTCTTATCTGCAAGTTAGTTTTTGTGGTTTTATGCTTTTCAGTTTGCCTGTGGTGTTGCTCTGTTTATAGACAGAATTAGAATACTAAGTTCAGAAAAGCTAGTCCAAGTAGGGCTGGATAAAATTATTTTATGTGCTAATGGCATCACTGTTGTAAAACTCCATTTAAATTATCAGTCATAATGCTGTGGGGTCTTTTCTCTTGGAGACTTGTGTATCCTGTATTGATAAAACACAGGTTGCATTCTGACATGCTATTTATTTTCCCATGGTCTTTTGAGCATGTCTGACTTTTTCATCTGTGGGAGCCCTCTTCAGCAGTCTATTTTGCAGGATTTGCAATCATTTTTATTCATTTAGATACCATTTATGGCTGGAAATATTTGTTTCCTTTAAACTCACTTGGGACTCTGTCAGCTGTAAACCTATAAACTGTTGTCCAGTTACTGCTTTGAGTACATTTATTGTAGACTAAGCAGTTTGCTACTTTGTGAAGTTAAGATACTGGGAACATTATAAACACTGAATACTTTGCAACATTGTGTACAATTACTAAATTTCAATTGTTTAGAAAAAAAATATGCATTATACATATTACTTCTCTTGCTATTCTTCAAGGATTTACAACAGTGTACACCCTGAATAAAATAGTCTTCAGTTTGGAGTTTTAAGCTTTATTAGCTTTTATGTGACCTTGAAATTTCTCCCTCTGCATCCCAGGATGTACTTGAATATTACCTAATGTTTTTGTGTGATTTCAATATCATTTGTGTCGTTCTTCCACATATCTTATCATAGTTCTTCATAAAGTGAATTTATTGTGCATTAACTTGGAAATAAATTCTGCAACACAGAAAACAAAACCTGAGCCAAAAATCTTTACTGCTGCAAGATGTCATGAAAAAAGTTGGTGACTTGGAAAAAAGACACTTGAGATAAACAGCAATGGAAATGTTATGTTGCAGCAGCCTTTACTCAGAAAACATTCATAACATTGTTAAAGCAGGGTTTACAGTCTGTGAGTTTGTATTACAAATTCCCAGCCAAGAAAGAAAAGCTGGAGGAGCTTACTTTTAAGTGATCAGGACTTGTATTCCAGTACAGCCAGTGTGTAGAAATGCATTGTTTGAACAGCACTGGTGACTGACTGCTGTGTGCTGTAACTGAGGCACATCTCCAGACTTGAGAGAACCTACAAAGGCAAAGTAGAGGAGAAGCAAGGGGAAGGAAGACGATATGAAAACAGAATTGCCAGGCTGAAGATAGACATTGATTTGGGGAGTCCCAGAGCAACTGCCTTTCCAGCCATTTTTTGCAAGCCCAGTCTTTATCTGAACAGATAATTACATTAGATTTTGGTAGGTTTGAGAAAGAAAATTAAACCTACCTTTTTCTTCTTATCCATGTTGGTTTACTAGTAGTCTTCTAAAACAGTTTACTGTCATATGTGCTTCCACCCCCAAGTACACATCTTCCCTGTTTGGGAATCTTCTGTTGCAACCATTACCTGGTCCTTGATAGTCATTTACTCTGGCTTATTTCCCCCTTATTTTTCTCTGGGAAATTACTGATACATTTCTTTTTTCTTTTTTTGGGCAGGTCAGTGACAGGTAATGTGATCTCTCCGCAGCTACTTTAGTAGAATGTATTGTGATTCAGACTAACATGGCAATTTTTTAAACTACCGGTCTGCTGAAGGACTTAAACCAAAGCATTCAGGCAATACTCTCACCTTTTGTTCCATTTTGCTAAATTGAAGAGGATGTCAGGTTAGTGCAGAGAAGTATTAACAAATGTTAATAAGTGTTTCTGTGTGTGAGAGGGAGCTTTTAAACACCAGCAGGTATATACTAAGTGAACTTAAGATCTGAGGCCTTGTTTCTTCTGTTGCCATGATACTTAACCACCATGAAGTTTTTATTCTTTCTGTAGGACCCCATGAGGAAAAATGGTGATCTTGTGCATTTCTCATGGTATTTTCTATGTGGAGAACAATTTTGAGTAGTGTGATATTTACTATTCTAACTTTTGAAATGAATTCATGTTGTTCCTAGTTTGCTGGGTCCAGCTTGTTGAATAGAAACTCTGGAGTGTCCTTTTCTATCTCATCTAGAATGATTGGAGAGGAAGAGATCTGTAAGAAAGAGCTTGGTACCTCAGAACAAAGAGTCAGGCTAAATAATGCCTTACTTAAGAGATTGCCTGTTATCAAGTAGCAGCTTATCAGACTTTCACTTTTACTCACTGGTGGTTTTACCTAATAGTCTGCTTTTTAAGAAAAGAGAACCCGTTTTACAGTTGCAAAGATTATTCCGTTCTGATATTGCTTATCATCTACCACATTAAACCAAATGCACCTTTAAAAAAGGAGTAGTAGTTCAGGAATTACAGTGATGGTCTGACCAGTGTTATTTTCAAAACCTTTCTATATTAGCTTGTACACTCATGCGTATTTTAAACTGTCATGATTTTGGTGCATAATGGAGCTTTCCTTTTGATGCTCCTTTTCTTCCTAGTTTATTAATGTTTGCAATAACTATTAAGTAATCTGACTGCCTTTTATACTGTGGTTTGATGATATGCTGTCTTTGGCAGCTCTGCTGACTTTAAGGGGTTCCTGACTCTTAAGGATTTCTCTTCACACAAATAATGTTCTGCTCACAATGCTGAGCTGTGAATTGGGTCAAGGATCCTGCTTAGGGACTTCTTTCCAAGGTGTTTTTTTTTAAACTGGGTGGGTTCTATCAGTTCAGGTCAGAAGTTAGCTCCATATATGCATTTCATGGTTTACCTGGGCTAGCAGTAGCACTGTTAAAGGAACAAGTGCCTAGTGAGAGGAAACAGAAGTTTTTTGGGTTAGTATTGCTGCCCAAGCCAGCATGTTGTTAAACCTTGGCCTCAGTTTTCTCCTTCAGAAAGGTTTAGTTGGTGTTTTGAAAACAGACAGCCTCACTTCAGACAATCTTAGAAGTAAAATGTCTGTGTTAACGTTCTTATTTCTGATTCAAGTGTTGTTTTTTCTTTCAGTATGCCCTAATTAAGATGGGATAAGAAACTTCCTGATGTTTTATGCTGCCTAAATCATAAAGCAGTGGTTTCCAGCACTTTTATAGCCATGCGTGCTGCCTGTGCTACTCTGCCAGTGGAATTCAGTAGCGTTCAATAGCCCTATTCCTTCCTGCCCATGGGCAATTGCACTGCTGTAGGCCCCTCTGTCTTAAGTTCCTCTTTGCAGGGGCTGGGTGGCCAGGACTTACCTGCTGCCAAAACAATTCCCAAGTTGACTTTCAATTGCTGCCTTTCCTATGGAAACCTCCCTGTTATAATATAATTGTGTAAATTGTCCCACAGGTTTTATAAACGCATAGGAGAAGTCCCATGTCCTTTCCTTTCAGTTCATATTCAGATTGGTAAGTGATGTACAGTAATCTTCACGGCTCCGTAAGATGACTTACTATAAGAAGGATGCAAAAAACTAAGAAATGTCCAAAGATTATGAATTAGTTATTTCAATATTTCAAGCCATTTCTTAGCATACATAGTGACTTTTGATGTATCAAAAGCATCATGTAGTATGTATGTGAAATAAATACTAATGATACTTGTAGCAGAGGAAAAACAAGGGAAATTTTCCCTTAGAAGGGTATCCTATGGACTCTTGTGTGGCAGGTTCTTTTAAAGAACAGAGGAAAACCCAAGTGTCTGTATTGGCATAATGAAGATGATCACTTTTTTTCTTTTTTGGGGGTAATTTGAAACAAATTAATAAATTTTACAAGATACAGCTCCAGTTTTGCAGTGAACGGTTTGCTGATCTCCTCCTTCCCCCCCACCCTTTTCCTTCTCACTAATATTAGTATCAGCACAGATGGAAGGGTCCACCTGCATGGATCTTATTGCAGAATCTGTATCTGTGTGTAAGTATATGATTGTTTTCCTTAAAATATTTTATGAACACAGAGACTTATGCCACAGAGAAAGTGTCAGGGAATGCTTAGACCCTTTCTTAGAACAGTTAAGTCAATAGCAGTTATTTATGTAGAGATTTTGTATTTCATCATAACTTAAAGCTCTCTCTTCTTTTTCCAGGTGGATGCACGGAGCATACCAGTGTTAGCAAAATGGCAAAATTCTTATAGCATTAAAGTTGTACTTCAAGAGCTAAGACGTCTAATGATGTCCAAAGAAAATATGAAGCTTCCACAACCTCCAGAGGGACAAACTTACAACAATTAATTTTAGCTGATTCTCAAACTTCTGTCTTAAAACAACATCCTTCTACTCATGTTAATGTCTTGATTAAATCTCACGATGCAAACACCCACACATTAAAGAATTCCAGCTGGTATACATGACCTGGACATTTGTAAGAATATATATAATATATGTATGCCCAATATGTTTTCAGGCACTATGGGAGAAAAAGGCAGCACAATTATTATTTTTTTTTCTCTTATCGAGGCACTGTCATTTAAGCATAAGCCTGAAATAGCCTAAAATTGGAATTCAGGTTTTACAAGATGAAAGCATGACAGAAAGTGTCAGATTGCTGTGGAATAATATATGTTTCTGAAAATAATCTCTTGAGAAGGCAAAATATAAATGGCATGCTTTATCCATCTTGCTTAGTAAAAGAGCTGCAGTAAAATTTGTTTTAAAGTAGCGGGTACAGTGAATACCATTGCTCATCTTGTTTAATTTTGCAAGGGTGTGGGTGCCGACTACTAGTAGTGTCACAAAGTATGTTCAGGATTGTTTTGATACCTGTATTTATAAAATGGGGGGATTCATTTCTGTTAAGCAGCTCCTGTGTGTTACATGTATTGGACATGGCAAATATTTGTTTACAGTCTTTGTTCTAATAAACCATGCATTTAAGTTTTAGTGAAACAAAGGAAATGTATGGATATGTGATTGAGATTAAAGTTAGTCTTAAAATGTAAATAAAATGTGGAAAGTGTCTGAGGCTGTGCCATTTCTATAATAGTGATGTAATATATGTACAGTAACTTGCAGAAGTATTGGAAAGCCAAACATAATATTGCTGCTGGTTTTACATGCACCTTTTATTCTTACCACTTTTGTATGCTTAATTTAGTTGAGAGGTCAAGGTATTCCATTTGTTGCAGGGGAGTAAGTTCGTTCATCTGTACTACCACTTCTTTAGCCAAGCTTGCACTCTGTGTGTGTATCTATATAATTAAAAAACCAAACCAAACAACCCCAAAATAAAAAAAAACCCCTTGCCTCCCCATCTCCCCTTTACCTCCTCTCTAGATTCTTTTGAAAACTGAGCATAACTTTCACTTTGCTTACTTGACCTCCAAGCAGTTTTCAGACCACATTGTGAAGTCTGTCCTACTTCTTAGTCTTTTGTCTTGCTTTTGTAGTTATTGCCTTGATTCTTGCTTTCTTGCATCTTTTCCTCTTTTATGTTTCTTGCCTTTTTTTCTTGTCTGTTCCACTTTTGTCTTTTCTGAAACACACAAAAAAGAAACTTCAGGAAGCTTTAATAAAAATTAAACCTGTGGTACAGATCATCATATTCCTGTCTGCATTCCATGTATCATATGCCATGCCACCACTGTCTTCATAGCTAGAATGCTTTTTGCCACTCCTGCAATTGTTGGTCAGTTTTTTCAATGTATTCTGTCAGGTGGGAACACTGGTTTTAGTTCTGTTACTGATTTCTCATGAGAAAGTAGTTAATGCCATCCATTTGGAAATTATTCCTTCCTTTTGCCCACTTCCCCCCTTGGAAAATGCAAGCCTTTGTTCATTTCGGTGAGAACATGTAACGGATGCTAGTCATCTATTTGCATTCAAAATTTTATTTAGTGGTTCACTTTGAAAAAGTGACTATAATCAAAAGCCATCAACAGCCAGGTAACTTTCTTTAATATGCCTTTGCCTCTTTCAGATGTAAAGATGAACCTTTAAAAGCAATAAAGTAGGTGGGTTTTTTTAAATTACAAGGTTTAATTAGTATTTGTCAGTTTATGCTTTTTAGACAAATTGGACACTTCTAGAATTGGTGGATTTGTAGCTGCCAGCTACCTCATGTCTGTATTTATATAACATATCATTTGTGATGGTTTGGCTGAAGTGCATTGCAACATTTTCTTACTTGATTTAATTTGAATGATTTTGATGCCATTAAATCTTTTCTTACACTAACACTGATAATCTATATTTAATCAATTAAAATAATGGAACTGTACAGTTCTGAGATGTGAATTTTTGGGAAGATTTCAGCATCAACTATTGAGAGAATGAGAAATACTTGTAGACTATTATATGGTTGGTAACATAATTTAAGTAACTGGCTTATTCACAAAGCATGAAAAAGGGATGGTTGATTGCTTGCTTGTATATAGTGCAAGTTGATCCCATAACAGTTATTCCTTCTTGTCTGTACTCTGTTTCTGTCTGTGAAAATCTGCATATCCAGCTGTAAGCAGATAGATTTTTCAGAAGAAAATAGAAGTGATGGAGAGAGTTGACCTGATCTCTGACCCCAGGGTATGTAATACAACGGATGACTCTTAAAAGTGTTCCTGCAGTGATTTTAAGTGTGTTGGTTTTCCATTTTGCTCACACTGGAACAAGTCTACATGTATTTAAGAAATTTTTAAATGTCTTTGACTACTGCATAAAGTCAAGAGCCTCCTCAAAACTTTTATAACCTGAAGATTTTGAAGCACTGCTGCTCACTCTCCTACAGAAAGGTTACGTTGTTTTACAGGTATCTGTCTGATCAGTGTTTAGTAACTGTTTTCTAGTGTTCTCGTGGTTTCTCTTAGGTAACCTACTTCAATGCCAGAATTTTAATTTTCCTCTTAGAAGTATTTAATTTGTGTTGTATTCTTTTGGCAAGATCTGAATTTGCTATTGTTAGCACATGTGTATTTTTTTCTTCTCAAAACTGTATTTATACATCTTGTAAAGTAGAGCACCATTTTAAGCCAGTTGTATGAGGGGCAAAGTGCAAAAGTTCTAAATATAATTGCATTTGAAAATTCATGTCATGTTTGTGGTCATCAACTAGGATGTAAACTAGCTTTGTGTTTTGAAGCATTCTTGTGTTTTGGTTGTTGAGGGAGGGATAAGTTTACTATGAAGAAAAAAAAACCCCAAAGATGGTATGATTCGTGCTTCATAAACCTTAAGATATAATGAGCAAGCCTATGGAAATATCCACGTTACAAATAATGTGCCTTACTCATTGATAATAAAGTACATAAAACATTGCAAGGTGTACACCTACCAACTGCCTTGACTGTGCTCCTCTTCCTGAAAACAAGTTGATAATATTTGACACCCAGCAAGACAGTCAGGAATGAATCCCTCGACTATTATGAAATAAATGCACAATGTGCATTCCTCCTAAATGTTTGTTGTTGTGTAAGGGATACCTAAAGGAAAATCTTAGTGCATCCTATGACAGTTGATCAACTACAATAATAAATTGTGTAATTTAGACAAGTATTTGTGTTTTACATGATTACTTACATAGTGAGTTTGTGGAAATGCATTGCCTATTTAGTAGCTTACGTGGAATAATTCAGGGCCTAGAAATATTTATTATAATTCTCTTACACTGTCTTTCGATTCAGAAGGCTCATTTAGCAGGTCACCTGATAATCATCCTGTGACAGAGGCAGGATGTCTGACTGCTGCTTGTTTTTATTCTGACCTCTAGTCTTTGAAAACTCAGCTGTATTGCCCCTGGTTTGGCCAGTCTCAGCTGCTAGAGAAGGAGGAATAAACTTGTATTAAGCAGGTCTGAATATGTGTTACTGTAACAAAAAAAGGTGACTTAAAACTACTGCTTGTCTTTTATGCAAGTAAAATTCCAGCTAGAAGTGAAGCAGTGGGACAAAATAGGTTTCTCATAAAGTTTTCTAAATAATGTGTTCAGAATTCTTTTGTGAAGCCTAGGAAGCTTTCTGAGGTGGGGAAAGTATTGGGGGAACATGGTGAATGTCTGTGATCTTTAATAATAATTTAAAGAAAAAAAAACACCAAAAACTTTAAAACTTGTTAATGCATCTGTATTAACTCTACATAATGAAACAATTGTGGGAGAAGGTTTTCTTCTTTTACCTGTTCTGGTGATTGTTCATTCCCTGAAAGAGTGTATTATACCTTTTGTGTTGCAGACCCAACTGATCATGGGCTAAAATGGTATGAAAGATGTATTGCCTTTAATGCTGGAGTATGAACTTACTTACACTGCTCTAAAAAAATACAAACCCCACATTTCGTTAGCTGATCTCAACTTCCATAGGAACGAGTACTCCATTCAGTGGTTAAAATACCAGCCTTCTACATTACCTTAGTGTTGATGTGGTTTGTAGCATACTCCTTTTTTTTATTAAATGCATGTATACCTTCAGCTCAATTGATAAACAGTTGTAAATGAATGTACAGTGAATTCTATAAAATCGATGCCCTATGCCGGCTCTCAAGTAGCGTTCTCAAATTCAAACAGTTCCAGAAGTTTTTCAGTCTTTACCATTTTAAAATAGTGATAAATATAAAAAGCTTTTTCTTATTTATGCTAGTGCCAAACTGCATAAATGGAAAGCTTAATGGATGATGTTGAGATAGTGCACAAATAACCGGTGCTTGGGATCACTTGATATAATGCGTGGTTTTTTATATCGGTTTATGACTTTTCACCATTTCTTAATGGAAGCATCCCAATGTTCTGCTTTTAATATATGCAGTATGGATAAAATGTAAACATGTTTTTTTAATGTATAAACTATGCAGCTTGAGTTAAACAAAAGTATACTGAATGTTTTTAACTCGGAAATACTGGAGGAATGGCTATGTAGACGTAAACAAGGAAGGCTTTGATCATCTGCTTTGCGCTTGTTCCCACTCTGCTCCCTGGTGGTTATTACAGGTGTGTAGGTATGCTGATTTAACATATTGGCTGTTTTCAATTTGAATTATTATTAATTTTTTTAAGCATGCAGGAAAGAGAAAGGGAGGGAGGAAGGGTTTGATTTCCATCTGCAATTTCTACTGATAAAAAATTATCAAGAGAAGAAGAAACCTCATACAGGTAAACACATCTGTTACTGACTTGATTTGAGACTAGACCATGAAAAGTTGGCTATTTTTTTCTAGTTGTCACAAGAATAAAAGCTGTTACAATTAGAATGGGAGCAGCTGACACAGTAGAGCTGTGAAGTTATTATGAAGATGTGGAAGAGAGTGTTTCTAGCAGATCTTTCCAGTGTCGTGAATATTGGGTTAGTATGGGAGAGTGGGTTGAGCCTTGCAGAATGACTTTGGGAGATGAACTAGCACTTGGTACTCCATAAATTCAGCCTGACAGGACTTAACCCAGTTATGTTCATTTATTTCACTTTTCTGAGACGAGTATTCATTCCTTCATTTAAAATTACTAAACACCGTGGTGGCGTACAGCAGCTTGAGATGACTCCGTTTCTTTTAGGTTTTGATATGCAAAACTTGCCACCATGAGGAAGTGTGTAAACCAAGAGCATGGAAGTGTGTGATGCTGGTGGCTGGCTCTTTAGTTCCTAGGTTAATCTATGCAATTGGTGATTGGCAGTTTTAAGTTTAAATGTAAGTGTGTAGTTAATAGTCAATACTTTTAATGAGACAAGTCTATGCTAAAAGCCTTTGTTTTTGTTACGGTATAAGGCAAATTGCCAGCAACCCTGACCCTTGCCTTTTCTGGCTGACAATTTCTTCCACTGTTTGTTGTTTGCTGGACTGCAGTTTCAGGAGAGAGTGTTATTTCTCATCTCTGGGTGGTGTGTCGCACTTTGAACGATGGGACCATCTGCTTCTGGGAAACCTCTGAAATAACTCCTTGCTACAACATCACAATTTCAGAATTTGCGTAGACAGTCACAATCATCTTGGTTTTGCTTTCTGAAAGCATTTCTCATCATATGTACTTTTTTTTCTGTATGAAGATTCACAGATTAAATTTATGACCTCATATGAAGCTACTAACCTGTAACAATATATTAGATTTGTTACAGCCTTATCAGAAAATGTTTCCAACATCTATGTCTTTACAGTCAGCATCAAATGTACGAGTCATTGCATTTATAACACAATTATCATGCTAAATTAGTAGTATACTTTCATTCTTTAAATGCTGTAACTCTGAAGTACTGAAATAATGTGAAGGGAAAATTCGTAGTCATGATGTTTCTAGTTGGCAATGGTTTTATATTGCTATTCATTCGCTATAAGAATTATTTGCTTCCTTGAGCTGTCATTTGGATTGCACATTAAACACTCATTATTTAAAATCTTAGAGTGTCACCTCATTTAGTACTGTAATGGTTTTCGTCTTCAGAGTGGGGTGCGGTGAACAGAGTACTGCTTCGGAAACTCTTGATTCTACCACCTTGCTTTTCAGTCTGTTAAAAGAAAATAGTACTCTCAACTGCTCATGTTCTTTAGAGTAGTAACTGTTTCCTCTGGCATTTCAAATACTCGTCTACCTTCTGATTTGTTTGGAATTGTGTTACTCAGTGTAACAATGTTAACTCCCAATCTCCAATGCTTTACTGTATTTTTGTGACTTTATGATTCTGTAATATCTGTATGATAATTAGTATTAAAACAAAAGCCAACAAAACTGGTGCACTGCTTTACTTGACAGATGCACAAGTCGCATGCATTGCACTAACAAGCCTGTAGCTGAAGACAGGGGGTAGTGGAGAGGGAAGGAATTCCTGTAATTGAAGTATATACAGCTCCTGACACCCTTGAAAAAAATACACTGTTCTGTGTCTGTATAAAACTGGGGTGCCAACTATGTGTTTGTTTGTTTTTTACATGCCCGCTACTACACAGCTGAAATTATGTTCTGCAGCCATCTAGATATACGGGTGACCAGTAATTTGTGCCCAGATAGGTGTGGTTTACCACAGCCATAGCAAAAATTGGAGTTCTTTTGTAGGTGCTTTTATGTGTAATAGCTGGAATCTGATTTATGTCTGTGCTGTTTAAAGACAAGTGGCAAAATGCTTTGGTATTAAATTCATGCTGTATTGCTAATGCTGTTTGGTGGGTAGTTCTTATTTGCTGTGGCTTATAATTTAGCGATATTTATTTTGTATTTTCACAGTTATTGGTTGGGATTATTTCACCCTGGTCTTCTAAAGGATAAAGAACACATGCATGTGCATGCAGGCACATACTCTCACAATTACAAAGCATTTAGGCAAATAAAATTTTGTTGCTCCTTTTCCCCAGTTATTTAGGAGAGGAGTTAGATGGGGTAGCTCAAAACTTTGTGTTGGCATGGCCAACTAGTAATAATCGTGGTAGCTGCATTTCTTCAGTTCACCACACCTCGCCTCTAATCTAGATCATCAAGTAGCAGTGGTCCGATCCTTTGCTGACCTATAATTTCAAGGGTGATACTTTCCAGGTCCTAACTGGGGGCAGCTTAGCTCAGCCTGCTCATGCCTGCTGGTGAGGAGAGCGTGGTGCTGGTGTCTGTCCACACTCCTTGCTCGGCCCTCACCCTTTTTCAAGGAGTCCCAGTGGTCTGCGTGAAAGCTGCTTGGGAGTGGAACAAGCAGCTCTGTGCCTCTGAAATGGGGTCTTGGCAGCTTGAAAGCAAACTTTTTCCCCACTTTGATATTTCATAACTCTCCCCCAACTAAGTAAAATTGTTTATAACTTGAATCTTTAAAGCATTTACTCAAAGAAGTGCATAGCTACTAGCTTTCTGTGGTGATGTATATAGAATATAGAGGACTCTTTTTCCCTCCTTCAGAGCAGCTGTTTCTGGGCTGTGATCCCTCTGAGGTAAGAACCCTTGTAAGTAAGGTAGTAAGCCTTGCAGAAGCAGGTATCAAGTCAGAAATCAGTGGAAAACCTGGGAACTGCTCACAGCCAGGATTCTCCTCTCTCCTCAGGGTGGGGGGCGGAATTTTATCTTCCAGTATTGAGAAGGTATCTTTCGTCATTGCCTTTGGTTGTCATTATTCATGGCAAAAAAATGTGAGTTATGGAAGCTCTTGGATAAGCAGAGATCCTTGTGATATTTTGGAGATGAAAACTTACTGCAGAAAGCAGAACAATCCTTATGCAGACTTTACAGGGACTGATGATTTACCCTCCAAAGTACTTTGCAGAGGAAAGATGAAAACTCATGTTTGGCATTGAGAGTTATGTGTGTGTCTGCAAATGTATTTAACACAGCCAAAATGCATAAGTTTTGGGTCAAATTCTGACAGGGCATTTAAACAGGATGCATTTCCAACAGAGGAATTTCTGGTACAGACAACCCCAGTCTGCATTTGCCTCCTTCATCTAAGTATTCTGAAAATAACTTCTTCTGTTAAGGATGGGAAATGTCTTCAGGTTTCCGTGTAATGAATGAATGAATGAATACACTGTGTGTGTATGTATTTTGTAAGGCCTTGTCTGTCCTCTGTGGAGTTATCTCAACTTCTGCACCTCTGGGATGCAGCTGTGCCCCCCTGCAATCTCAAATATCTCTGCTTTTTGTCTTCTAGCTTTTAGATCCTGTCCATTTCTGCACTCCTCCTCAGAGGTTCATGAAATGTATTTCAGATAAGTGAGCATACTGGTGGGTTTAAATTAACTATAGAGGAGTCTGTGAAAAAAACCCAATAAATTTGGGGGTCAAAAGTTGAAAACCCATTCTTGCATCATTTTGTTTTTTTAAATTTGAATGCATGAGTTGGAGACTGTGAGAATTTGCAGTACAGCTGAACTTAGGTATGCTCTTATGAATGGTAATCATATTCCTGTTTGAGGAAAAACAGCCATGCTGTTTGCATAACAAATCATCCTGATGTGGAATGAGGTATATCTGTGTTGTCTGTGAGCAGTGTGACTTAGCCTCATCCCTTTCCCCTAGATAGGTAGTTTTAGTTTCAGGTTTGGATATTTTTTTTTTCTGTATTGTTCAGTGGCTTTAGTATTTCTGTTTATGCTGCAATCTCTATAATACCTAGATCTGTTCACATGAACCAGTTTGATCTAACACATCTAGAAAATTACATCATACAAATTCCCATGTTTCAATAAAGAAAGGGGTTAAATGGAGAACTCGCAGTAGGCAGACTGCATATACCCGAATGAAGCTGCGATGGGGTCCCAGCCAGGAGCTCTACTCAACTGTCTCCTTTTCTTGTCTGGGCTCTGCTTTCCTCTGCTCTGTTTTAAATTTACAATAGGACTAGTTAAATCCAACTTTTGTACAATCCCAAATTAGCAGTCTAATCTCAAAACATTTTTGTGCTTGAACCCAAAACTAAGGTCTGAGCCACTGTGCTTAGTAAAACATTGCTACTTTTTAGATAAGAACAGGTCAAAAATCAGAGTCAGGACCTAGCTATTGCTCCTCAATTCAGTTTTGACTGGAGTGATTTAATTGATCACACAAAGTGTGTTTGTTGTCAGCTAACTTCTCTATGGGTATATTTGTGGCAAAGATAAACTTATTTCCCTACATACGTAAAGAAAATCACATTAGTTTTTCTAATTCATTTACTGTTGCTCATAGCTTTTCACCCAGTTTTCAGCAACAATTATTTTTTAAAGTCTGGTTTCCACCTAGACCATGTTTCTTTAACTCTTCTATTCTTAGGCTGAGTTGCTAGGTCTGGAATTTGCAGAGTACTTTTGAAATCTTTGGAATGAAATGCCTGATAGAGCTGTCAAAAACCCTCAAGGTCCAAAAGGCTTGGTTTCAGCAAATTTGCATGTGGCTTCTGTAAATCTTCTCTCTTGCCATTTAGTATTTACTAACTGACAGTTAGGAACTATTCATGTTTCCTCATTATTTAAGATGAGACCTTTCCACACTGGTCCACATGTTAGTAAGTGGAGAGCAGCAGAAATCTTTCTCTACTCTGTCTTCAGCAAACAAAACCACACTTTTGGAGGTGGTAGACACACAGCATGTTACCAGTTTTTCTTTGCAGTAAATATTTGACATGCATCAAGTATTTTTCTGCTTTGATTGAACTGCCAACTTACAAACTACCTTGGGTAAAGTATCCAAGCTGTAGTCAGTTTGGTAGTATAGCAAATGTTTTTTATCCGTCTAAAAAGAAATTTGACATGTAAATTCAAAGAAAATTGTGTTAGAGAATAAGGTTTTTTTAGGGTGGGTGTATAATACTGACAATTCAGTGTTTAACTGAAAGGCACTGTAACGTACATTTCATTTTATTTAATTAAATCATCTGGTGAGATAGTGGATTAAGGTGTTTGGACAGCCCAAAGCACAGCAACTGCTCATTTCTCTAAAAACAGACAAAGCCCCTGTGGCTTACATCCCTGTCCTCTGATTACTCAGCAAGGAGCTGGTACAATAATCTTGCTGTAGTGGTCCATCTATTCTTGGAGTGACTTCTTCACCAGATAGCTCAGACAAGTTTTGGTTGCTTTGACAGTGCTGGATCTATGCATGGGCACAGGAAACGAGGGCCAAACAGAAACCTGCCAGTCTGTGCCACAGCCACTCCATCCTCATGTGGTTTTCCATTCCTCGCTTTCAGTCTCAAGGAGACTGATCTTGGGCTCACTTCGTTCTTGTTGGCATCCCAAAGATTCTTGGAGGCCGCTGTAATGTCATCACTTTTTCCCCATAGGACACGTGGAAAATGATGAAGAGGAGCTGTTAATGGTGGAAGATCGTGGGCCTGATTTGATTAATTCTCAGGATTTTAGGAGGCAATGCAGCATCAGCAGAAGCAGTTTAGCATATTATCGCTGGATGGAGGAGGAGAGAGAACACCTCATAGCTCGTGAGAGTTTTGATTATTTGCCTTCACACAGTAAAGTTTATAAGAAATGGCTACAAGAGAAAACTTACAGGTAAATTTACCCTAAATACTGTTAAGTTGCCTCTAAACTATGGGAAATTTGAACGATCCAGAGAGATGCCTGATTGCAGAATGAATTAAGAAAATATTACTTAGTGTTTCTATACATAGGAAGATACTTTAATAGAATGTATAAGGAGGCCAAGTGGCAAGCAACTTTGATTAGAAACATTTTTTGAAAGTGCTTGTGCCTTTGCTCTTGGCAAATGATTGAATATGTAAAAAACATTAAGTACTCGGTGTATACAATGTATAAAAGGAAGAGACTTTGCAGACGTTTGGGGGAATGTTCTCTTACTGCTACTTGTCTTCACTGCTTCTTAGTGTAATCTGCAGGAAACATGGTGTTTGAATCTCAGTAGGGGTGCTCTAGTCCTACATGATAATAGAAATAAATCAGAAATTATTATTTGTGCACAATTACTATTAGAAGTATGAATTTATAAAAAACAGAAACTAGAGGTAAAGTTTTGCACATCTGTATGACAGATGCTCAGTGCATTAGTTGTAGTAGAAGAAAACAGGAATTATTTTGAAAATAGTTTTGAGTGCTCTACTGAATGCTTAATTACTGTTACAGAATTCAATTTTGAGATATCAAACAATCAGCATCTAAAAGCAGATTGCACTGCAATATATATTAAAAAAAATGCACAAAAACAACAAACCAAAAAACCCCACCCAAAACAAACCGAAAAATCCAACCATGTTCCTTACCCAAATGGTAATGGCTTTCACCTGAAGGTAGAGTTTTGTTAAGTGTACAATTTTAAAAGAGATATTGGCAAAACCAGCCTCTTGCTCATGCAGTCATGGTTAATAATCAAAATGCTCTAAAAACAGCACTTGCATATTTGTGAGAGGAAGCATGGCAAATAGTCCTGTGCTATAGGCTAAGAGGTAACTGTATTTTCCTATTTCTAGAAAAGAGTGGGATCGATGGCTGCTGATGGGGCTAATTGGAACAGCAGTTGGGATGCTGGGGGTTTTGATTCATCAGATAATTGACTCTCTCATCAAATTGAAATGGGACCTGGTGGAAAATTACCTGCAGGTGAGCAAGAGAAAATCAGAGTAACCTTCTCTGTGTTTGTTTATTAGAAAATCTACATTGTAAAGTTTTAACTGACTAGAGATGCTGCTTGTCTAGATGGTGTGGACATCAGATACCCTGTGGTGCTTTGTGTAGGCATGCTTTGGTGTCCTTTGCTACGACTTAGTCTATAGTACAGTGTAATATCTGATGGTGTTCTTATCATGAGATTGATGAAATATTAATGATTAAAATATTGTCACCTTCCTCTTGTACATAAGGGGCATGTGCTGCTTTAGGTATTGTTGGTGTCCAAGGGAAGCAATTAGGTTTCTCTTAAGGTGTATAGTGATTGTGGACCTGGTATCAGATATGTAATTTCTTTCTATGTCTGGGGCAGCTATATTTTGCTAATGCTGTAATAGATTATTCTAGAATAATTAATTTGTCCTTGATGGGTATCACAATCTCTGTGATAATTGGGGTGGTGTGGTAAAAATCACTGAATGACCAAAACCAATGTAAAGGTTAAGGCATCTCTGACACTGACTACTGCTTTTTCTCACCTGTGGAGAAGCAGATGGTAAAACTTTTGCTTGGTTTGTGATAACTGTGGTAGATAGTATGAATACTGAAGAGCTTCTGGTGAGAAAGGGGCTTTGAGCTTTTGTTCCAGTTGAATCCTGACTAGGGAGGCTCAGGCATCCTGTCAGCAGGTGCTGTGGGGAAGCCTGTATATCCATCAAGCATGTCATGCAGCCAGCAGACACCGAAATTTGTGTAGAAGTGGGTCAGGGTCAGGGCTGACTGTGCTTTTGCACTCAGAAGTGGTGGCAAGGAGCTGCTGGAGATGCCCCAGCACCCAGGGGAGACATTACCCCTGACTCAGCAGAGGCCACAACCCAGAGCAAACTCCTGAGGGAGGGTGCAGCTCTGCAGGCCTGGGGCTCTGGGCATTGCCTGGGGCCTCTCACTGAGGCTGGAGCGTGGCAAATTAGCTCCTTGCCTGCACAGATGTGGTGGGATAGCTGACACAGCTGGAGCGCTGCAGTGGCTGAATACAGGCTCTTTAGGAAGAATAGACTGGGATGGTTAGGAGGGGAAGTTGCTCTTTTTTTTTGTGAGAAGGCAGTGGGAAAGGATAGAGCTCTGCCTTGGGACAGATGAGAGTCAGCTGAGATCTTGTAGGTCAGGGTTAGAGGGCACACCAAGATGTGTGATGATGTTGTGGATGTCTGCTATGACTGCCAGCTCATGAAGTATTAGACAAGGCTGTCTTCAGACAACTGGAAGAAGTTTCATGGTTACTGGCCCAGATCCTTGTGGGAATCTTTAGCCAACCACCCCAGTATCTGCTGGAAGTACAACACTGCAGGGCACAAGCAATCCATGAGGTTTCTGGAGCACATTGATAACTTCCTGATAGATGGTTGAGAAGCCAATGGGGGCGTATGCTCTGCTGGACCTTGTACTTACAGACAAAGAAAGACTCGTCAGGGATGTGAAGGTTGGGGGCAGCAGTGACCATGAGATGGTTGCATGCAGGATCCTGAGATAAGGGAGCAAAAGCAGGATCACAGTTCTGGATTTAGGAGAGCACTTTGGTCTGTTCAGGGATCTGCTTGGAAGAATCCCAGAGGAGACCATCCTGAAAAGAATATGGGTCTAAGAGGGCTGGTTGTTTTTCAGGGATTATCTCCTCCATGGTGAAGAACAGTGCATTTCAATAAGCAGGATATCAAGCAAAAGGTGGCGGGAAGCTCATCGCAAAACTCAAACATGAAAAGGAAGCACACAAGAAGTGGAAGTAGGGACAGGTGACCCAGGAGGAATAAAGAGACACTGAGTGTGCAGGGATGGGGTTAGGAAAGCCTAAGTGCATCTGGAGTTGTGTGGTAAGGGATGTTGAAGGGCAACAAGAAAGGCAGGAGGTGTCTACAGGTACATCAGCAGCAAAAGGAAGAGTTGGAAAAATGTGGGCTTGCTGTTGAACTGGGTAGGGGACTTGGTGATAAAGGACTTGGAAAAGGCCAAGATACTTGATGGCTTTTCTGAGGGAGTCAGCTGATGTCACTGTGAGGCCACTCAATTATCTTTGAAAGGTCATGGCAATTGAGGAGAGGTTCTTGGGGACTGGAGGGAGCCAGTGTCACTTCTGTTTTCAAGAAGGACAAGGACAGATCCCGGACAGAAAGACAGATACAGGGAACTACAGACGAGTCAACCTCATCTTGACCCTGAGAAGGTGATAGAGCAAATAATTCTGGAAACTAATTAACTAATTAGAAATAATTTCTAACTGTGTGAGGAACAAGGTGATTGAGCGTAGTCAGCATGGATTTACAATGTATAACAATCTTCTACAATGAGATGACTGGAGCAGTGGATGTTGTTTATCTTGACTTTAGCAAGGCTTAATCACTGTCTCCCATAACATCCTTGTAGACAAACTGATGGTCTGTGGGTTAGAGAAGTAGACAGTGAGAAGGATTTAAAACTGGCAGAACTGCTGGGCTCAAAACATTAAGATCAGTAACACAAAGTTGAGCTGGAGTCCGATAACCACGGGTGTACCTCAGGGGTCAGTAGTGGGGCAAAACACTGTTGAATATCTTCACTAATGACCTGGATGATGGGACAGAATGCACCCTCAGCAAAGTTGCAGACAAAAGCAAAACTGGAAGGAAGCAGTGCTTGGTAGACCAAATGATTGTATTGCCATTCAGCTAACAGCCTCCTGGGCTGCATTAGGAGGAGTGTTGCCAGCAGGTCGGGGGAAGTGATCTGTCCCCTCTATTCCGCACTAGTGAGGCCACATCTGGAGTACTGGGTCCAGTTCCAGGCTCTCCCAGTGCAAGGAAGGCATGGATGTGTTCTACACTATTCTGTGAAATTAAGATAATGGAATAATGCTGCCAGCTGCTGAAGGACAGATCTCCATCACTTCACAGAAATGCAAGGGAGGACTTATTCTGTGGAATGGATGGAGGCTGAAAATACTGGAGAGAGTATCCAAGAAATCAAGAAGTTTAGGTTTTCTATGAAGATAGCATATATATAATGATCTTGGAATATTATTTCCCTGGGGTTTCTTATATACAAGCCATGTGTATGTTTATAAAATATATAAACAGTGGAAGAGTACACACGCATACATGTATGTATGCATTTGTATGTATATGCATGCATGCGTGTATATATACACACTAAAGTATAAATAGAGAATATATAAAAAGAAACAGCAGTTTGACTCCAGGGCATCATAACAACCATTACACACGCTGTTGGTCCTGCTGTATTATCAAATTTGTCCTATTGTATTAAACTAATAGAGGGAGACAGAAGGTAAGCTCTCACAGCCTCTGATATCAGTACAAACATGTAATTCATGCCCTGGAAGACCTTCCTATCTAAAAACCTCCAGCTGTGGATGAGCAAAACTCCTTTTCATGTGATTTGCATTGCTGTTTGGCTGCTCTGCACGATGTACTTACAAAAGCCTTGAGAAGGGACATGCTTCTGGGAAGGCTGCAGTGGCCAGCTGTAATGCTGCGACCTCAGAAATGCAAGGGATGTGTTTGACCTGCGCGCACAATGAATCACAGCTCAGTGCTGTGGAAGGCAGCAAAGTATGTGGGAGCTGAGGAGTTCTGGAGACAGCATGGCTGCGGTCAGCCCAAGCACAAACAAACCAAAACCCCATGAATACTGAAATGTGGTTTTTAAATGTGAGAAGGCCTAGTATAAGAGATGTCTTTTTGGTTCAAATAGAATAGGAAAGAGCTTGCTCACGTATATTCTGTCTACTAATAATAGGTATAAATTCATAAAGGTAGTCACTGATACATGACTTTGAAGCTTCCATTCATCAAAATGTCTCTTGAATTCACTATGTAACATTTTCTTGTGTATATAATAAGGTCTGCTTCTGACCTGAAAAGGGCATTGATGAGTAGCAACACATCCTTTATAGTGTTTTTAAAGATGGGCAAGAAGTTCTGGAAAAAAACATGACTCTGCAAATCATCATTCACCTTACTTTTACTCACTCCCACCCTTTTAAAGAGCCTGCACTGCTTGTTTTGGTTTTTCCCTATAGTACATCATCTGCCTGCAGAAATCTGTGGGACAAGAGATTATTGAAAAGCGGGATGTGGTGTATGGGTGCCAGTATAGTAACTTATTTGTCAACTGGACAGGATGGCAACATCCATATGACCTGGCTATGTGCACTTGGGTCTGGGCTGGCCATGATGGTTCTCTCTTCAAGCGCGGTGCTGGTAAGTGTCTCCTTCACAACAAGCCTATGATTCTGTGATAAACCAAATCTCTTGCTCTTCCAAATGCTGGTTAGTTCAGTATTTTATTTAAAGAATGTCCTCTCTATTGTACAACCCAATTGGAGAGGTCTTTCTTGGCCTTCAGCCTAAAGCTGGATTCCATCGCCCATAACTTATATACAAGTGTCTGGGGTGAAATCAGTGGTGGTAGCCATGCAATTTACACTTACTGTGTAATGTTTATAAAATAAATACAAATGGCAGCTGGTGTAACTTGTGAAAACTATGTGTTTGGAAGGGGCCTAAGCCAAAGACTGTCAGTCCATATAAAAGTTACTGGTGGTTTTAGACTGATCTTTTAGCTGTGCTATGTGGGTATCATTTGTGGCCCAGATCAGTACTTTTACAAGGCAACAAGGCTAACATTGAGCCTTTCTGTCGTTTACTGTACTGTTGTGTTCAATTTAATTACAGACAGGCACTTAACAGCATAGGTGAGAGAAAAAACAAATCTTTTACTGAACTTACCCCAAAATCCAGCAACAGTAGGAAAAGGGAGTTTGCTGTTATATGTGTAAGAACTGACCAGTTTTAAGCTATCTAAAGTCCGAAGTGACTGGACAAATCACGCAGCTTCACATGTACACCCCGCCCCACAGACAGCCTGTGCAAAGACAAGAGACTGGCTGGCTTCAGGCATTGGTGGGGGGGCGGCAGGGGGCTGGGGCTGAGGCCCTTGTCCGTCATTTTCTTCTCTCATTACCCCCAGTGTGCATATAGTAACACTGTTGGAAGCTTGAATTTTTGCAGGTAGCCAGAAGTTATGTGTGTATCTATGTTTGTGAATTCTGGGACAGTTTATTCATGAAGAGAGTAGGGTGAGGGCTGTACTTTAAAACTGTGTGCATAGATGCATCTAACACATCAACATCTAATGATTGTTGACCATGTTTCACTTTTCTTCTTCTTCATTCTTATTCTTATTCTTTGCAGTTTTTTTGCCCAGCAGGTTCACTATCTGACTTGCCAGAAATCATTGGGTATTTGAATGGTACTTCCATTCAACATCTTTTTAACATCAAGACCTTTTTAGGCACATTTGTCTTATGCATACTGACTGTAGCCTCTGGGCTCTTCTGTGGGCCAGAAGGTCCCATGGTCCATTTGGGGTAAGAAATAGCAGGCAAAAGTTAAAGCTATCAGGCTGAGGGTATGGGTTTCCAGTGTCTGTTTTGGTGGCCATGCTGGCTTAAAAAATACACTGCATTGGGAATTCTTTTCACCTGTGCTGTCCCCTACTTTGCATTAGCACAGCTATTCATGCCATACAGTGATGAAAAATATTTTTTCACTGCATGTTTTACATACTGGCTTGGTTCCCTAGTATAATTCCCTGTAAGGCTCAGCAAGCAATTATCTGGACAGCAGCAGCCAGTTTTGTTTCTGAAAAGCTGTCCCAGAGCTATGGCCTGCCAGCTGCTTTGCATCTCGTGTAACTTCTTTTACCTGTGCAAAGTCTGTATAAAAATAAAGCCAGTCTCAAGTGGCTGTGAAGAAAAGGGGCAACAGTTTTACAGCCACGTGCAGAAGCGCTATGAGTAGCTGTGCAAAGCGCGTAGCGATGACCAGCCAGGCCCTTGGGGTCTGTGTTTCCAGTTTACAAACCTCACAGCTGCCGGTGCCAGCTAAGGGCAACCACAGAAACCAGGCGCTGCTTTGCAAGCTCTGCAGATGGCAGATTGCAAGTCAGGTTGGAGCTGCTTGTTGTTCGTGCAGTAGTGTAATACTATGTTTTAAGGTAGGGAAAAGTAGACTTTATAGTCTTTTTGAAGGATAATGTTTTTATCCCTCCTTGCTATATACAAAGAAAGAGAATCCCCATCACCCTATTTTGGCCCACGGCCTTGTGAGAAGGGGAGAGGAGGGTTGCCCAGTCCTGCTCTGTAGGTTAGAGCATTTCTTAAAATTTAATATGTTGCAATACAGCCAAACTTAGTAACTGCAGGCCAGATATTGGGCTTTTCTGTTTTGCTGAGTTACATAATTTCCTTTATTTGTCTTTTAGAGGAGAATCCTGCTGCACCTTATTACTATTATTAAACCGTATCTTGAGTAGAGGTGGTAAAATTAGTCTCTGCTGATATGATATAGATCATTGGTTGGCTGGTTTGCTGTTTTACATCTGTCCTTTTTTGTTTTGGAAAGTATTTATCCTTGAGGTTTGTTCTCTTCTTTACTGCCCTGACCAAACCTATCCTCCTCCCCACCACCCTTTCACGTTTTTTGTTATTCTGTGGGTTTATATTTATTTATTTATTTGCATGGAGGTGCAGCACCCTAGGGGATGACTCAGATGTTCAAAAATAGGAGCACATGGTTAGTCAGAGGCAGCCGCAAACCTTCCAGACAATGATTACAAAGGTTTAGCTCTCCCTTTAGGTTTCTTTTGTTTTCTTTGCTTTCAGACATTTGTGTGTCTCCAGGAGCTCAGAGACTGCAGCTGTGATTTTTTTTTTTTTTTTCCTTTTGTGCTGGGTTGGTAACAGTGATGCATGAGCAAAAAAATAGAATCATATTTCCATGAAGAAAGTCAGCACAGTACTAACATGATGTCTTTTCAAAACATAGGAATTAAGAGCTAGTTTAATTTAATTTAGCTGGAACCCTCCACCATTTTTATTAAACATAAACACATGTAAGTTGCTAAAAGCCTCTGAGAGATTTGTTAAGGCTCCTAATTGAAGTCTTGTAGGAAAGTTCTCCAAGATTATACAATGAATAGATGTTTCATTTCACTAAGGGTTTGGATTTTATTTTTTTTCCCCCCTCATTTAAATGTAGTTTGAAGTGCTGCCTGGGAACACATCATAATAATTTAAATTATTACACGTCTTCTGTTAGAAGTAGGCCTATTCTGGCTGCTATGATCATTAACCTGGGAACGGATGATTGAAATGATGGGCTGTAGTCTGACGCGTCACCACATTGGGCAGACGTTAACATGCAGTTCTTCAAAAGGCATTTCATGGCCTATCATCACAACACTCCTTACAAAAGAGACATTTAAGTCTGAGTCAAGAATCTGAAAGCCTTTAGTAGCCTTCTGCTTTATGTCAACAGGACTTTGCATATTTAAAAGACATGTTCAACATTTTCCATGTTTAAGTCTGTTGAAACCAATCTAGCTTTGCTGCTGCAGTCCAGCTAAAGTTCTGTCCTCCTCTGCCTTTAACTGTGTGTGATTTATGAATAATTTACCAAAGAGTGCTCTCAATTATACAACATCACTTTTAGTGCTCTCCTGGGTTGTGGTCTGAGGCAGCTGCAGTTGGACACCCTTGGCGTCCACCTCCCGATATTCACCAGGTTTCAGAATTCGTCTGATAAGTAAGTGATGGGCGGAGCTTGAGGCTCTGGGAGGGCCACGCCACTGCTTGTCCTTAGTGCCCTGGGGGTGTCCGGCAAGTTGCTGATGAGCCCGTTGCAACTGGAAAATAAATGAAGATACTGCTTCAGCAATCTTTCAGCCTTCCTGTTCTTTGTCACTTTGGAATGAGGATAAAGTCACTCAGTCTAAATAAAAAAAGTTGTTGTTTAATTAAACAACTTTAAAGTACTTTAATTAAAAGAAAGTTTGCAAGTTGTTTTATTGAATGCTTGTGAAATAATACGCTAATACTGGAGACCTTTCCCCATTGCCTTCTGGGTTGTATAAGGAGGGAAAAAATGCAGGATTTTTATACATGGGCATAAATAAATAAATAAATAAATAAAAATTTATTTTTCTAGTTTTGAAGAAGTAAATTGTTTGTGACACTTTTTAATCTGGCTCTTGTCTGATCATGCGTGTCTGTGAGATAACTCTGGTAAGCTCTCTCTTGTGAACAGTTCTACTGAAATTAATGAGATTAGTTTCCAGAAAAAGAAATTACAAACCAGTTTGTCTTCTGGATGGTATTTATTGTCATGTTGACATACAAACTCTTATATAATACTTATTTTTTCTAAAGCAAGGTAAAAAAGAAAGACCCCCGTGTCTTAATTTCCTAGAGAGATACAAATTCAAATGAATGGCCACTGTAAACTATCTGCAGCTTGAAAGAAAATCAAAAAGCACCAAAGGGAAGATGCCTTTAGCCTTTTAAGATCAGTCATTTAAATAAATCTGAGACATGCTGGTTAAACAAAACATTAGTCATGGAAGAAATCAGCAATTGCAGTAAGAGAAGCAGTGAGAACTTTGTTTTTCTCTGCAGGATCCAGTTATAGTATAATTAGAAAGAAAGAAGAGTTAGCTTGCAGTCAGGAACCATCCTGGGAGATACAGGTTGTGTGGAGGCCCCCTTCACAGAGAGGGTTGTTGGTGAGCAGCAAATTTCAGTCCAAGTGAAACCTCAGTTCTATACAAAGACCAGGATGAAAGAGTCCCCATTCCCCCAGGATATTTTTGAGTTAAGTAGGCTCAAGAGGTGTACCCTCTTCAAGTACAGGCACAGGTAGAATAGTAACTCAGCAAACGTTAGGATGTTGAAGCTGTTCCTCCATTGGGCAGCTGTAACAGATGTGTAGGAAGAGTCCAGTTTCGTTGTTGATGGGACAGTTTCATTGTTGTTGGGACACATAGCCTGTACAGCTGACTGCAGCAAGAAGTTGGAGACATCCAAGCAAAGCCTGCCCAGCTTTTACTGTGGTGTGCAGTACCCTTTGAGTTCCCTGTGGCTGGAAACAATGTCACTGTGAAGATATACCTGTAAGTAAAAATCCATGCACAAGAGTGCCTAACTCAGCATTTTTGAGCTGGGGAAAAAAAGTTGCCTGTTTACCTTTAATGGTGGGCTTTGTTAAGGTCTTTGACATATGACCTCTAATCTTTCCCTTATTTTTTGTCCATTATCCTCCTTCCCACCCATTTTTATACTGATAAAATTTGTGGACACCACAGAGAAGTCAAAAGGGCCCCCTAATATTTAGAGATGATTCTGATCTGTTTTGGGTTTTTTTATTTATTTTTATTTTTTCCAAGAACTTGGTATTTCTTAATATTAAAAATACTCAAGTGTTTTGTATACTTGTTGACTTCAGCTAGTACTGAATGCTCAGCATTTCTGCAAATTATCCCTGAGGTCTCAGGTAGCACATAAAGAAGATGCAAGTTTTAAAGTTTTATAAGCTGGTGAACACTAGTGATTAGTGCATTATATGTATCAGCATCACCCTGGTATCCCCCACAAAAGCTGGACTTGAATCTAGCTTTCCAAGGCAGAATTCAAGCATAATTTTATTTCCCCTTTCTATATCCTTTCCTCTGTTTTGCACTCTGTGGCCTGCCTTAAAAATGTAACAGCTGTCTGCAGGATGTTGTTTTCATATAACCAAATGGGTGCTTTGGAAAGAAAATTATCTTGTGTGTAGGAAAATAAATAATAATAAATGTTTAAAGGAAGACTGTCCATTAATGCCTTTCTGCACAACACTGTAATTATTTGGTTTCTCGTTTTCTCGTTTTCTCGTTTTCTCGTTTTCTCGTTTTCTCGTTTTCTCGTTTTCTTGTTTTCTTGTTTTCTTGTTTTCTTGTTTTCTCGTTTTCTCGTTTTCTCGTTTTCTCGTTTTCTCGTTTTCTCGTTTTCTTTTTTTTTTTTTTTTTTTTTTTACTGGAACTGGGTCACAGTACAGATCTCTACAGTTTGAGGGCCTAATGCAACTTATATCAACAGAAGTTTGTTGCTCTTTGGGGTGTATGTGAGCTCCATGCCTTTACAGGGAGGAAGACAAGGTGTATATGTTCCCTCTTGATTTCTCAGACATTTACAGACTGAGGTCTGCCTGGTGTTAGGCTAGTTGGCACTAGTTCAGCTGCCTGCTGGCATGGTGCAGTGGTCCCTGCGCGATGTTAGAGGAGTGAGGGTTTTGTCAAGGCCAGAGGTCAAGACAGACAGATCTGAACTCAAATCCTAGAGATGAAAGGCATAATGATAACCCTAAAATAAACCATCAGATCTATAAATTCAGCCCCATAAATCCAGCTTTGACAGGAAATAATGTTTATGGAGTTGTTATTACCCAAATTTTGATGACTCTACCTGTTGCTGGTGCAGTTTCATTATGGCTGGTGCAGGAGCAGGCATAGCTTCGGTATTTCGTGCCCCCATTGGTGGGGAAGTGTCTTCATTCTGGGACATCAGGCTGGCCTGGCAAACCTTCTTCTGCTGCTTGATGGCTACCTTCACCACAGATTTACTGTCATCTTCTCTCTATGGGTTTGTTTACAGAGGTCATTTTGGATTTTTTGGAGCAGAGAAAAGAATTATATTTTGGGTACATACTGTGTGGGTGTAGGAAGAAATAGATGCAGGGTTTTAGGTTTGTCTCATCATTGTTGTTGAAAGAGTAGCAGGGAAGGGGGACTGAGAAGGGGAAAGGATGGTATGTGTACAATTATCAGATCAGGGGATATGGAAACCTTCACACTTTACATCTTGTAATCCCTGAGATACAAAAAGAGAGTTGTTTTGTTTTAAATTAAAGCAAACAAATAGACAGAGCATCTACTGTTTGCTTATTAGCTAAACATTTATGTTATCTTAATAACTTTCTGCACTGGTCCTGGGTAGGAGAGGGATTCTTTGAAGTAAAGGAAAAAGCAGAGAAGCTCTTGAATAGGGTGTCCTCTCCTTCTGTAATCAGCTTGAGCTCTACGTTGTTGCTGCAGGCATTGCTGTACCATGTCCCTGTTCCTTGATGTTTACAGATTAAATGTTTGAAAATATATAATCACTCTTTGTTCCTGATTGCACAATGGAGGTGACCTTCAGCCTCAGCTACCTTTATTCATTCCAGCACGACACAGCCTTGATCTTTGAATTTTACCTTGTGTCTACCTAAAAGTAGTTGCTTTTATTATCATGTCTTTCACTCATTTTTATTGCAAGATGATTCAATAGTGATGTACAAATATCATGATCTTCACTTTTCTTGCCTAAATATCCTACTTTGTATTTGACTTGAAAATCAATTAGAGAGCTAGAAATAAAAGCCTGGTCTTCTGAATCCACTTTTTGCTAAGTAGATTTTTTCCTGACCTAATTCCCCGATCACTTTCACTGATCTCTGAATTTCTTCTGGCTTGTATCTCTCTAGCAATGCAGAAACCAGTTGGTTGGGAAGATGGGCAACATTTTTTTTTCTGTTCATGCTGCCTGATATAATGATTTTGCATATGCTGTGCAGAAGTATTTGGGATATATTTGCTTTACCACAAGTTTAGCTGGGACAAGTGGAGAATACATTGGTTTTCCACCCAAATAATTTTTGTGGACCAACTCATAGTGCAGTCCCCCAAACAGTTGCAGTGACACAACCAAGAAGATCAGAATTTGTGGCAGAAAGGTGAGACTATATGGGTAGGGAATGGGTCAGGCCTGTTGAAGCCAGATTCATTGCTGAAGCCGAAGTATCGTGCAGTGAACAGCTGCATGCACAGGGGAGAGTGGATTCACTTCAATTGCTATTTTACAATAAGCATTGCTCATTTTAACATTCCTTTCAGGATGTTTTCTGAAAAGAGCAGTGGATTCTGTCTCCTTCTATCTTGTCTTAGTGTCATTAAAGGGAAAAGCTAGCTAAAATTATTATCAGTATGACTTCTGGCACGGTTCAATAATTTTGGCTCTTGGTGTGGTACAGATAACCAGAAACATTTTCATTTCACTGAACATGGGGCTCAGGGGAAATTTTGCTTCTTTCATGTTTTGTGACATTAACCAACATAGTTTACAGTGGATAAACTCTGAGTTGAAAGCTTGTGGGTTATGTTTCTCAAGAAAACTATTTGTTTTCTTTGGTTTCATTCTACCTAGCAGAATGTTAGAATGGAAATTTATTGTACTTCAGAGCATGAGATTTTCAGGAAGCTTCACTTTATTTTTACATAGACCACTGGATTATTTGTAAAGGTGAAACTTGCTCTGTAGGTAACAGATTTTTCTTGATGACTGGCCAAAAACTGTGGTTGATATTACAACAAAAACAAACAATACACTGTGCCACCTCTCATTCCCAGTGTGTGAAGCACTTGCTTGACTTTACCTTTATTGCCACATGCAGTGTAACTTGCATATCTATTACTTTAAAACAAACACCTCAGTATATTTTTCCCTTAGGAAAAAATGGAGCTAGGGAGGGAAAACAATAAACCCATGCATGTCCATTTTTAGTTTTAATGCAATATTGGAATTAAGTAGACTATAATACAAGGTACTTGGATCCTGCAGTAAATAAACCAGAATTTTTCTATTTCAAATTAAGCTACTTTTCTCTGAATTTCAACACCTTAAGCATTAGTTCTCTTTAAATCCTTTGGAGAAGGATTGATTTTGTTGCAGCTATTGGTAAAAATAGCATTATTAAAGTTTTGATTAGTACATAGAGTACCTACATATGTGATGGTTGTAGTCCTGATTGTAAGGTGTGATAAAACTCAAGTCTTTTCCTACTCCCCGTGAGTATACCCTGCAGGTGTTGGGCTTCTTGTGCCTGGAGATGGCTGCTGGGATTCTCCCTCTTCCAGACCCATTTTTTCAGTCTGTAGCTCCCTATAGACCTACTCTTCAAGCCTGGCTGGATTTTGACCTTGGTATTCCTCCTGTCAAGAAATACCACCAGTGTTTAGTACAGCCACCCAGTGGATTTGTTAAAATCTAGGCTAATTTTAGAAAAACCAAGAATAATATTAAGAGTCAAGAAGAAGAGGAGGAAGAAATAAGAGTTTGAACAGTAAGAGGGCCTGTACACTTGCTCAAGCAATTTAAGGAAGGCTGACAGTTTCTCCAATCTGCTACCCCCAAGATTATACCCGTTTAGGGTTTTTTTGTGGCAACACTTGACATGTGCCCTTACTACTTCTTGCCAGGTAGCCTTTTGAGCATTTTGTGATCTCTTACTCTGCCCAGATCCTAATCTTGACAAAAAGCTGTGTAACTCTAAGCCTGGGCTAAGGAAATATCCTCACAGCTTTTAATAGATTGCCACTGATCTGTTGACTCTTTCTGTTAGCTGGAAGATAAAATTAAAACATGATATTGCTCTCATCCTTGCTGCCTGTTGAGGAATCAAGCAGAAAATTCAATTACTATTCCAGCTGCCAGACTGTATTCTGCGTTGTGATTCTTGTTCTGCAAGTTGTTCCAGATCAGCATGAATTTTTCACAGTTTTACTTAAATAAATTTATTTATAAATGATGTCAAGGACATGGATGCAGGTAGACGCTTAATAAATGAACTTTCCCAAATGTAGATATAGTCACAGTGAAGAAAGCTCTGGTTCAGCAGAATCGTTTGAAGTGTTCAGTAAGGCCAATATGTCATGTTGTGTGGATGTAATCTGAAGTGCTAAGTGCTTGTGGTAACTGCAGTGCATCATAGCGGTTTCTGCTGTGATTGCTAACATCAGTGTCTACCTGCTGGTTCCACTCCTGTGAGGTGTGCAAGAGCACACTATCTCTCATGAGATCAGCTTTAAATTAATTAGCTGAGCTCCGTAAACTGCAAGGAAAGATTTATTTCCTGTATGGAAATGACTTTGTAGTATCAAGTTTTGTAAGAGAAGGTATGGTATTTCATGTCACTGGCAGGACACTGATAATTTTTTTTTTCTTTTTTTGCCTCAGGTTAAGAACTTGCTGGACATGAATGTCTTGGCCTTTGTTCCCACCATCATTCTTGGAGTGCTTGGAGGTCTTCTGGGAGCTCTCTTTGTTTCCCTAAATATAAAGATTAATAAATTACATATGCAGTTCTTTAATTCAATTCCAATATTATCCCTTAGAAAAACAAGCAAGCTGTTGGAAAGTGTGCTCATTCTTGTAAGTAAATATGGTTCTCTTGATTATATAATATTTACAATGGCTAATGAGGGCAGGTCATAAATTGGCTGGATGGAAAAGTGAATCTCACCTGCTGGTACTTGATAATGTGCAGCAGAGTACAGCAAACATGGATTTACAAAGTACATATAGGTATTTAATGATGGTGGGTATGTAAGAATGGAAAAGACATGTTTTGTTTCTGTTATTTGTTTTGTTTTTTAATGCTTGAAGTATTTTATCTGTAGAGTTGCTTGCCCACTGCTGCTCTGCTCCGAGGATAGTATATCAACTTAGTGAGTGTAGCAGTTATATTGGTGTGCTTTTGCATTTATTTGCAATCAGTGGAGGGCTGTCAGATGTAGATTTCATAATTTTTCTCCATTTTTCCTGGCTAGTGATTGATCCTCTCATTATCCCATGCAGCTTGCTCATGTAGCAGAACCAGGTGGACATCCTCTTCCACACCTCTGCATCTGGGCACTTTTTCAGCTCTTACATTGGAAAGAATAATTAGAAGACTATTACCATAACCATTCTTGCCTCAAGATAGCAAAGATCATCTCTGCCTCCTGTGAGAAGAATAGATGCATAAAGAGTAAATGTTGTAGAGGGTTTAAAAGTTACGGATAGGTACAGAAAACTTTCTGAAGCTAACTATTTATCTGTAGTCAGTTACCCCTAGTTGTTACTGATGGAAGTCAGACTGGAGCCTCAGATGTCCTGATGAGGCATGATGGGGCCTTTTTACCTTCATGCTTTGGAGTTTCCATTTGGCATTGTATGGCTTTGGGGAGGGTCATGCCATTGGAATGAAAAGGGTATAGACAAAAGGTTCCCATATGTTGAATATCTTCATAATTTTCAATTTTATGCTTTGGTTATAACTTAAGTATGTTGTTAAATTTGGAGGAAGGAAACTTTCAAAGCTTTTCTACTGCACTTTTAGTAAAATTGTGCAAATTTGGGTTTCTCTGCAAGTTTCTCTAGTGAATACCTGCTTGTCATAATTTTTCTCTTTTTTTCCATCAGTTTTGAGGAGTTTTCAGACCTTTTTAAGTGTTGAGATGATCTTTCTTTAGGGAAATCAGTGCAAGCTAAAGCCCCTTCCTTCTGCCCTTTCTTGGTCAAACTTGCCAATATGTTTTATGTATGCTATATATATATATGTACTATTGTATACTTCCCTCCCTCCTCGAGAGAGGGTTGCTCAATTGTAGACCTGGGCTGGCCATATAGATGCTTTCCTCCCATGAGCCCAGACATGCCTTCAGCAGCCTTTACTCTGAGCCAGCAAAAGGACATAAGCTTCAGCCTCCTTGCAAGCACTTGTGCTTTCATCAGCAACCTGAATGATACTGGGAGGAAAACAATTAGTATTTTAAATACAAAAAGTGTGAATAACCATAGGTTGAGGCACGTGGTCAATTCTCTGCAAGCTCTCGGCAGATTGGCACAGAGATGTGCACGTTTGTTTCCCATAGGTTGCACTATTCCTCTCTGTAGTGTCAGAAAGAGCTCATTTCATTTAGCCCTTGAAAGCTGTGCGTGCTGTGGCAGTCCAGCTCCTCCTCCTCTGCCTGGTCCTGCTCGTTGCTGGCAGCAGCGGCAGCATCCTGCTCGTTGGGCGCTCTGATGGCACATCAGAGGTGAAATCCGACCTCCGGTAGGAGGAAGAGGAGGAGGAGAAGGGATCCCGGGGAAAGGACCGTGCTGGAACTGGCCCATGCCATCGATGACAACTGGATTTTAGCTCCTCTTAGCGGCAGGATAACGGCTTTTCAGTTTGCAGCCGTGTTAGCTCAGCATCTCGCTGAGGGCAGACACCCTGAGGAAATCACTTGAAGCTTTTTGCTTCCACGTTTGAAGGAGTGGGTAAAGTAGGCAGGGAAAATGGGTTTTCTCAGTATTAGGGAGAGACTTTCCACTGCTCTCGGCATTCTTTCGTTGTGCTGCAAATTTGCTCCCAGGTCTTGCAAAGGATTTGGGACTTTGTGCTGTTGAGAACTGCAGTGAGACATCCTAACAAAAACCCAGTTTTCAAACCAGCAGGATGAGGAGTAGAGTCCTGTGTAAACTTCATGGTTTCTCAAGGCTTTTCAAGGACCTCCGTTTGTGCGAGGTCAGGTTTGTAACAATTATTATTTTAACAATTTAGAACTGGAGCTGTGTGTTTGACAGCTGCTTCCCCTGCTATTGGGAAAGGTTTGGCTTTCTCAGAGTACATTGCAAAAACCTTGCATAAACTACTTAAACACATACAAAATACATAGTTTGTTATTACTTTTCTGAAAAAAAAAACCCAAACCCAAAACAGCCACACACAAGACAGCAAGACCCAGGATGGTAAAAGATCAGCCAGGAAAGATTTAGTGTTGGACCTAAAGAAAAATGCCTCCTAAAAGTTATTTTATGTTGTCTTGGAGTTGTGCCTCACTGACCCCAAAAGTTCATGGGGCAGTTAGCACCTTTCTAGATCATAACTGTAACTGGGACAAGAGCATGTGTTTTGTAGTGTTTACAAGAGCTTTTTTATTTATATATTTTTGTCTTCATCCTTACTTTTTTTTAAATACTGTTTTTTTTACATTAACTTTTGTAGCATGAACTCTTATTCAGACTGTTTTTCCTTTTTATTAGCTCTAGGAGATCCTGCTAGGTCACAGTCCTTATTTTATTATAACCTGGCAAACAAACGGCAGGAAAGAAACTGTTTGATCTGAGAAAGAACCATACTTTAAAAAAAAATTTATTTATAAACTCACATAATCAGACAACTGAAAGAAACTATGTCACGGTGACTTTAACCAAAAATAATCTTGTCTGCGTTTAAACTTGGAAAGAACCCATCACGGTATCTTCCACACCCACAACATAACCCGGAGTACCATTCCTTTGACTGGAATTGAATATCTAATCTTCAGTCCATAGATTAGGCAAAGCTGTCTTCCTAAGTGCCCTTCTGCCCCTTGGCCTGCGTTTGCTTCTCCTCAATTCATCACCTTTCTCTCTGTGAGGAAATCACAATGTAGATAATGTTTTGCCAAGAATCTGGCAGAGCTATCTTTCTATTTTTTTAATCATGTTGACTAATGCTTCTTTTCCAAAAGCTCAGTGTTTCCATGGGCAGGGTGGACAATTTAAGGATATATGCATATATATTTATATATTAAGCTGTCAAAACTTTAAAAGGCTACTTGAGAGGATGATTTTTTTTTTTTCTACCTAGCTGTGAAGATAGGCTACTGCTTTAAATATGTAGCCACTGACTCCAGACTAGCTGTCCTTCTAGTTCCCTTTGGACTTTGGAGCTTTGGCAAAACTTGACCTGGGTTTGAACTGTCCCAGAGTTAAGTTTTCAGAAACAAAACCTGACCTAAGCTTTGTGAAGACTGAACTACTCCCAGTTTCATCTATCTCTTGTAGATGCACTGGGCCTATAAGCTTATAATCTTTGAGATACAGAGAAATAAAGACTTGAGATACTCTTGTCTGACAAATTGTCACAACTGCACACAGCTGAATATCAGCTTGAGGGTTTCTATAAATTTGCTCCCTGAGCTGTTTTATAACAATCCACAAAGTGCACAAAACCTTGTGCTCGGAAAATATATTATTATGGTTGTGTGTTCCAGTAATTTTTCTTCAGATGTCTAGTGAAATCTTTTCTAAATATATATATATATATTTTTTTGGGGGGGTGTGGGAGCATCTTCATTTAATTAGGAATGTAAATTGATCTCAGTTGAGATAAAAACCCTAACATTAGCTTTGAATGAAATATGCCTATGTTATATTAAACTATGTTATGTTGAAAAATACGTATAACTGAAATACAGTCATCTCATGTAAAAACTTCTTTTGCTTTTGGTTAATGCAAAGCAGCCAGTAAAAACACCTTCTGCTGTGCTCTATTTCAAACATTTTTGGCTTCATTCATGTTTGCTTCAAAATGGGTATAGGGAAAACTATGAGAAGGACCTGATAATGTCTCTTCATCCATTTGGAGTGCAATGTCTGTAGTATGTACTCTGATTTAGGCATTGTCTAGTATTGCTAGGATGTCTAGGAACTTCTTTCTGTTGATTAACTGCATATTTGTCCTTTCCTAACATCCTCCTTGTAAGACAAGGGAAACAGTAAGTTTGCAAGGTAGAAACAAGTTTTAGCTTTAGTTCATACTGGCCAGAGACTTCAAATTTGCATAAATGAGGAAGTAATTTAAATTGAAGCAGTGGATTGTTTTTGACACACAGTATAATTTTTAAGTACCAACTGGAAAACCTTAATGAAAGATCCTGAATGAAAGACACATAGATCCTGAGTTCTTACTGTGCACAGGTTGCAGCCTCAGGCCAGTAGCCTGCAAGGAGCTCTGGCTGACCGCATCTCCACTGAGTGCTGTGGGCATGGTGGGGAGGCTGGGCACGTGTGGTGTGTCCCATATACTGCAAGTCTTCGTGGAGTTAGCGGTGGTCTCTGGCTATGGAGCTGGAGGCCAGTTACCTAGTTGCAACAGTCAAGTCTCTGATGTTAGATGGGATGAATCTGGGCTTTACTCATTGCTTATGAGCAAATGTTGATCTTCTGGAATATGTGGGCATGACAAAACGACAATTTGCTTGTGGTAACTGCTGGAACTAGTGATTTTAGACACTTTTCTTTCTGGTTTTGTCTGTTTATACATCTCACAATAGTCTGTTTACTTATTTTAATGCCTGCAGGTATGTACGACGACTGTTACAGGATATTTATCATATTTCTTTCCTTGCACTCCAGTCATGGGTGTGAGAAACTACCAGCTGAGAAACAACTCAGAAATGTAAGTGGGGAGAGTCACCAGGAGTGTGTCTATGTAAATACATTATTAACCATTTCTCCCAGTCAGCAGTTACAATGATTTGGGATGGAAAAATTCAAAGGTGCATCAGAGCTGAATGTTTAAAATTACTTCATGTAAAGACAAGTATCACACTTAATCTTTTAATCACCAAAATTTAATTACACTTAAACTTTTCTGGTGACAGGCATTTGCCATCATGTCAAATTAAAGGGAAAAAAAAGGAGAAAGAAACAAAAGGGAGTTAAAAAATGAAAAGAGCCTGAAACATGGCTGAATGTATCACTCAAGCAGTTTTTCAATTTGAAAACCTCATTTTGCTTTAAAAGGTGTAGAGGCCTTATAGATAAGATGTACAAGCCTATAGGAGACAGGCTGTGCTTTAAATGGAGAGCTACAAATGGAAACCAATGGAAAACCTTTGTAATTCTCAGCTTCAGTCAGCTACTGTTGTCTAAGAGACACTATCTGACCAGTCACAGAATCACAGAATTGTCTAGGTTGGAAAAGACCTTGAAGATCATCTTATCCAGCCGTTAACCAAACACTGACAATTTCCAACTATATCATGTCCCTAAGTGCTATGTTACCCAACTCTTAAACACCTCTAGGGATGGGGACCCACCACCTCCCTGGGCAGCCCATTCCAGTACCTAACAACCTGTTCTGGAAAGAGATGCTTCCTAATATCCAGTCTAAACCTTCCCTGGTGCAACTTAAGGCTGTTCCCTGTTGTCCTATTGCTTATTACTTGGTTAAAGAGACTCATCCCCAGCTCTCTGCACCCTCCTTTCAGGTGGCTGTAGAGGGCGATGAGGTCTCCCCTCAGCCTCCTCTTCTCCAGACTAAACACCCCCAGTTCCCTCAGCCGCTCCCCGTACGACCTGTGCTCCAGACCCTGCACCAGCTTCGTTGCCCTTCTCTGGACACGCTCGAGTCATTCAATGTCCTTTTTGTAGTGAGGGGCCCAAAACTGAACACAGGAATCGAGGGGCGACCTCACCAGTGCTGAGTACAGGGGTCAGATCCCTTCCCTGTCCCTGTTGGCCACGCTATTGCTGACACAAGCCAGGATGCCATTGGCCTTCTTGGCCCCCTGGGCACACTGCTGGCTCCTGTTCAGCCGGCTGTCAATCAACACCCCCAGGTCCCTCTCTGACTGGCAGCTCTCCAGCCACTCCTCCCCAAGCCTGTAGCGCTGCTGGGGGTTGTTGTGGCCCAAGGGCAGCCCCCGGCATTTGGCCTGATTGAAACTCCTCCAGTTGGGCTCAGCCCATGGCTCCAGCCTGTCCAGGTCTCTCCGCAGAGCCTCCCTACCCTTGAGCACATCAACACTCCCACCCAACTTGGTGTCATCTGCAAACTGACGGAGGGTGCACTTGATCCCCTTTTCTAGATCATCAATAAAGATGTTAAACAGGAGTGGCCCCAAAACTGAGCCCTGGGGGACACCACTTTTGACCGGCCCCCAACTGGATTTAACTCCGTTCACCACAACGCTTTGGGCCCGGCCATTCAGCCAGTTTTTTACCCAGTAAAATGTGTGCCCATCCAAGCCATGAGCAGCCAGTATCACCAGGAGAATGCTGTGGGAAATGGTGTCAAAGGCCTTACTAAAGTCAAGGTAAACAACATCCACAGCCTTTCCCTCATCCAATAAGCAGGTTGCCCTGTCACAGAAGGAGATCAGGTTTGTCAGGCAGGACCTGCCTTTCATAAACCCCTGCTGACTGGGCCTGAGCATCTGGTTGTCCCGCATGTGTTGTGTGATGGCACTCAGGATGAGCTGCTCCATCAGCTTCCCGGGTAGTGAAGTCAAGCTGACAGGCCTGTAATTTCCTGGATCATTCTTCTGACCCTTCTTGTATATGGGTGTCACATTGGCCAATTTCCAGTCTGTCGGGACCTCCCCGGTCAGCCGGGAATGCTGGTAATGATGGAAAGCAGCTTGGTGAGCACCCCAGCCAGCTCCTTCAACACCCTCGGGTGTATCCCATCCCATCGACTTGTATGTGTCTATGTGATGCAGTAGGTCACTGACTATCCTCTACACTGACAGTCCTCTACATAAGAACACCAATATGTAACACATCAGAGGCACATGCCACTACAGCACAAATTGTAATCTGGGGACTTAAAATGACAAATACAGTATTAATGAACAGGCAGGTAATGTGTGTGTGAATGGCTAGGGATATTCTGGGTAATATGGTTGAATTGATCCTTGAATCTGATATATGTTTTGCAGTCTAAATATCTTTCTTGAGAAATACCTATGAGGAATCCAGAGGAAGTAGAAAAAGAATTGCTTGAGGTTAAATGACAGCTTGATTTCACAGTGTAAATGGTCACTACCAACTTGTAGTTTTACAAATTCATAAGTCTGTAAAATTTATTAATTCCTTCTTCCAAGTGGGCAGCATCATATATATATATATATATATATATTGTGTAATATGAACTGTAAATACTGAATAACTTGCCGTTGGTGACTGGAGTCTGAACAACTTATTTAGGTTTATAAAAAACAGACATACTTTCCCATTCTTGCCACCAATTCTAGACTGTCATCTGACTTGCAATACCTGGTTTGGTATTGTTTGCTATAATATGTATTTACATATTCTTTATAAAAGCAAACTTTGTCACTGAGTACAAGGACTTGGCTACGGCTATTTGGATTGCCACAGAAAAAAACTTTTATCTCACCCCAACACCCTTTTTTCTTTTAAGGACTAAATGCTTGCAAAATGTTATTTTTCGAAACAAAGCTATTTTTGCTCTAAAGGAAAAACATCTGAAACCACAATAGTTTCATGGCTTTTTTTGTCTATCTCTGAATCAGAAATAGTCAGGCTGATCCAACCTGAAGGCTAAATGGTCTTAGTGCCAATTTTTCATTTGGTGTAGCTACAAGTTATAAAGAGTACATCCTGTTGAATATAGATAGATCTGAGGGGAATTAAGCACCAAATTGTTCTGGATTTTGCAGGGCCATGCATATGTAGTGATGATGTCTCTAGTAAGCTTGTAGTAAGGTACAAGACTAAATGTGGAAAAGAAACTTGTTCACTGTTCTTTTGTTCTTAGAAGTTTAAAAAGGGAATTGTGACTGCAATCATGAGACTTTGGTTAGGATCATTTAGATTTGGTTCATCTCAACAAAATCTGAGATTCTTGGATAGTGCTCTAGAGGCAGGTAAATACCATTAACCTTTGGAGATCCAACAGGTTAATAATAGGCACCATTGCCACTTTATGATATCCAGTAAGAACTATATAACAAAAAAACCTGTAAGGTGCTTAATTTTGACTTTTGTACTGATCCAGCTTGGTGAAGTGTATGTTTTTTCTTTTAAGCCATGACTGTACAAGAGTTGCAGCTCCAGGTGGGGCTGTATGTGGCTATGCCAGGAAGACAGCGCTTCCTTCTAGTGTAGCTTATCCTCATAAATTTATACTGGAACAGTGCTTTCAGTAGTGTTTTGTAGCACTTTCCAGCAGGCCTTGATAATCCTAGGAGAAGGAGGCTGTGGGGAGGCAGGAGAAGGAGGTAAAGAAGCGATGGGCTTCTGCCATTAGCAGGTCTCGGTACAGCACATGCATTCCTGCAGCATGCAGTGTGGCAGTGCCGTCCTCCCGCTGGCACCATGGAGAAACCTGTCTCTACTAAATATGCTGATTTCAAATGGAAAGATTTAGTGGTACAAAACTCTGTGTGCAAACAACTCCTACATCTCCATTGTCTCAGTTTGCTCAACCATGTATTTTAATAGTAAAAAACCTTTCTTTTGTTGTTTCTCTCTCTTGTTATTTTGGCATTGCTGGAATCTTCAAATTGTCTCTCAGATGTGCTGGTTTTTGTGTGTGCACTCCTTTATTGGTAGAAAAGACATTTGTATAGAACTTGAGGCTTTGCTATAAGTGGGTTACACAATCATACCATTTCTAAAGCAGGATGGAATAAATTAAGTTTTTGGGTTTTTTTTTATTAACCATTATGAATTTGGAATATATTCTTGTTTGAGTGGTTGGATTAATGTAAAAAGCAAATACAAGATTGGGAAGTATCTTGTGTTCCTTTGATTGCCAATCTGGGGTCTGGAAGAAATTTTCTTGCACTAGATGTTGCCTGCATTTTAAGTTTTCCTTGTAGTTCTGAGCGGGGATCAGGTGGGTCAAATACCACAGATCTGCTCTTTGTTCTACTAACAGAGTTCGTATTGTTACTGTTTAAGTTGTGGTGATGTCCAAAACATGCTGGATACTTTCCAGACTGAAAGAAGGAAGTTGTACCTGTTTGAAGAATGCAATTGCTCTGGATGACAGAGATTGAGAAAGTGTCCAGGAATAGTAGCGCTGTACAGAAAGGCGAGTCATGGTCAGCATGATAACTGGCACTCTAAACTGCAAGATGTTGAAATAACTGGTCGCAATATTTACTGAAGGAGAGTTTTAGAATCTGTTGGACAAACATCTTTAGGTGTGGTTTGGGTCTAGCTTGTGCTGCTGTAGAAGAGGAAACCTCTAAGTCCTTCTGGCTCTCCATGACACTCTCCTGTGCAGAGCTTTTTAACTGCAAATGCATCTGTTAGCTTGGGATGCTGTGCTTCCTACTGATGTGTTCATCAGGCATGATAAATTTTTGGTCTGCTTATCCTATTTTATAGAGTTACAGAGTGATGTGTGGACAAGGAGATCAAGGCCAGAGTGGACATTTTAATCAGATTTTTTTTCCCCCTTGTTTTTTTAGGCAGTGTAATGTGATTCCTAGTTTTGGAAATTTTGGATTTCAGCAGTTGAAGGTTTATGCAGAGGAACATGAGCATTAATAAACCAGATTTATTAGTTTAGTAGAATAATTAATAAACTGATCTAGTAAACTAGATTTATTAGTTAATAAAACAACTTAATTTGGGAGATATAAGGGGAAGTAGGCATTTTGTGTAAAATTTATATCTAATATACACATTCTGTACAGGCACTAAGGTAAGTTATATTAATCTATTTAATAACTTTTTTTTGTTTTTAATATTTAAGCATAAATCAGTCCAAGAGGGAAATTTCAGAATATAGCTGTTCATCAAGCTGGGGGTTGATCCAGATAGAATCAGATATTCTAATCAAACCTTCAATCAAGGTAAGGGGAGCTAAGTGAATGACACCTGGGAACAAATAGAATTTATGTAACTTGAGGTGATATCCAAGTATATCTACTGATAATGTAGGTTTGCTTCAAAGCAATGTAGTGCTCCCTTTTGAGGGATATATCAGAACTAAATGCCATATTTGAGCCAAATATGCTGGGAAGTTCCTGAGTTATTACCTCTGAAAGGAATGGGGAAGGAGCCCTGATGAAGTAGTACGGTTGCCTTTCTTTGGCTTAAATGGCTGCAGTTTCTTCTTGTTTAGATCAAGATTAACATCACACAGACCAGGCTGGAAAGAACAAATGTTCCTTGTTTTCCTGAAGGTGCCTCAGATGCTGAAGACATCATGTTAACTCAATTAACTGACCTATGTACTTTGTTGATTTTTTTTTTCAGCTTTAGGCAAATGAGAACTACTACAAACTATTTTTGTAAAGGATCCTTTTAATGTTGCCTTTCCACATCTTTTCCTCTGTGTTGCAGCTGCTACGCTTCTAATTGAAAATGGGAAGCAAGGGATCACATAGCTCTTTAAACGTGGGGCTCGCGAAGAATTTGGATATGCATCTCTTTGTACTGCTTTGGCATTTTATTTCATCCTCAGCTGTTGGACAGCAGGTTCTGCTGTTGCGAGTGGCCTGGTTATTCCTATGCTGTAAGCTTCACCCATCTCAGTTTGAGCTTCCTGTACAAAAGGCCGGTGTTGAGTAGCAACAATCTAAATTGTAAACTGAAAGCTTGCCAATAGCAAAGCTATAATTGCTTGGAGGAGGTTATATAGGTGGAACAGGATGGTTTGCTTGGAAAAAGATGCTAAAATTGTGGAAAAGAATGAAGAAAAATCATCTGAGAATAGCTGTGGAAGGACCATAGCCAAAACTATGTACTTTCCAAGTATAGATCATTTGAATCCTTTGGGGATCCAGAGAGAGTCTCGGCTGCTGGCTCCATCTCTGTAACTGTAGAAACATGGGTTCAGATCCAGACATTTCATCTGTTTCTTATGCACATAATAGCCTGAATCTTAATCTTGGACATCAACACCCTAGGCTTTGGAGAAAACTGCAGTTAGGTCTTTTGTTGTACTTTTTAAAAAGCTGTGGTAGACTAGAGCAAAGTTCTTATAGTAATGTTGAGAGGTTTAATGTTCAGCAAGCAAGGAATCATGGCTGGAGAGTGAGTATCCAGCATAATGCAATTCAAATACCAAAAAAATTCTAAGAATAAATAGTTGTGTGTACAACCTTCTGTCTTTTCTCTACCCCTGAGTATTTGCCTCCTACCCTCCCCAAACTGTGGTCTAAATCAATTTTTGATATGCATTGTTTGCTGAAACATGGCATACTTGGCTGAATAGATATAGATAGTTAAATCTGTCAGACAGCACCCGTGTTTCTGATCCCACAACCTAATTTTTCTAATCATTCTAGAACTAATTGAACTGCATCCATCAATAAAATAAGTTGAGTGGATAAATGTGAAAAAGTTGTATAGTGGTGCAAGAAGATGCTCCCCAAATCAGAAAATATATATGGCTATTGTATAAATAATAATAAATCACCATTTCTAGAACGTGAATATCTGTACAAATCCAGTTCATTGGCTGATGCTTGAATCTATATGCTTAATTCCTTGCATATGGAATGAAATGCTGTGTATCACACCAGCAATTGCATGTTCAGATGTGTTAAATTTTGGTTTTAATCTTCAGTGTAGAATATGGTTGGTTTGAGGACTCCTGGGTTCTTTTCACAGCTTCATTCCTGGTTAGCTCTGGGCAGGTCATTAATACCTATTATTCCATTTTGCACATTTGTTATATGGCTGTAATATTTTACTTGCCAGGTTTATGGGGCACAGGTAGACTTAATTTTAACAAATTATATAAGGCTGGAGGTCTAGAAGTGTGGGCTTTTTATCTGAAATATGCCAGTGTGTATAACTGTGGCCTATAATTTTGACTGTATTCCTATAAGGTTTATTTTCATTTGTCTTTGAAGGACATTAAGACATGCTGATAGTCCTTTTTCTTCAAAGTATGGTAAATCTGGTAGTTTTATGCTCGTGACGGGCACTAAGTAAATGCTCATACTAAGGAAGATGTAGAACTTCTCCTTGGGAAAGGAGTCACTACAGAAGTTGATAAAACTAATCTGGGATCATCAGAATATTAGAAGCATTTCTAGAGAACACTATCGCTGGCAAGAGGACTGGTCTTTTTCTTCTTGCATACAGATACACAGGAGCTTTGTATGGCAGGATAATTGGTTTGATCCTTGTTTCCATTTTTGGTGTTCAAACTAATGAATATGGAGCATGGATTGATCCAGGTCTCTGCTGTCATTGGAGCTGCCTCCTTTTTCAGTGGTGTGTCAAGGCTGACCATCTCTCTCACTGTGATAATGATAAGTATGTTAAGTTTTGAGCTATTTGTGTGGCCGAGGTTGAGTTGAGCTTTTGCTGCCACAGCTAAATGAACCACAGGTATCCCATGCACTTTGAACCACAGAGAAATAAATTAATGGCCTGGCTATTTCTAGCTTGCGTGAAGAGGTGATGGTGGTGGTTTGTTTTTTTTTTTTTCTGGGATCTTTTATTTGTGAAGTGTAAGTTTGCAAATAACACTTTGACTGAGAAATGTGACTGCTTTCTTATTTTTAAAATTTTTTGGCATTACAGAAACTGTAATGGCATCAGTGGTTTACAAACAAGAAAATAGAATATACTATCTCTTGTTTCTTCTGGATTACACAGAAATAGTAGAACATTATGAATTCTGTGAGAGCTGAGGGTCTTGTGCAATACACCTTTTTAATGCTGGGGCTCAATATGGTCTTCTAGCTGGAGTAAGTGAAGGATTTGGAGTAGTACAGGCAAGTGATGCGATGGGAAGCCTCCCAGGTCTCTCTGGTAAATTTGTGCCTTATAGATTTCAAAATTTTGAGATTCACTTGGAACACATTTCATATTTCTGTTTCCTGCCCCCATCTTTTATAACAGAACATTTTGAGTCTGCGCAATACTTTCCAGGCAAACCTCTGGAAGCTAAAGGATTTGCAAATAGTACTCTGATAATTAGAGAGGATGTTCTTTGCTCTCCCTGGTTGCAACACCTGGCAATGGTGAGTTGTAAGGCGCAGCTGAAATTCAGCTTAGTCAACAGAAAAGTGATGTTGAGGTCACAAGTGGGAAGCTTTCACCCTCCCATGACAGGACATTCAAGTCTAATGAGTGTTACTGTGTGTGGAAATTTCACCCATGACTAAATCCAGCCTTGACTGCCCGGCTGGCTTTGCCCGAAAGGATCTCATTAAAATCTTTGCAGATGTCAGAATTCACCCGGAGTGACCAAGCCAGGATTTTCCCCCCTCGTACACTGTTGCACAGTGTTTGATAAAGTAGCTGTTTATTGGCACTGGCTCCAAATTTAGTTCATTTTAGTGATAGGTTGTGTAAATTGTGTAGGAAGCATTATTTCAATGTTTTAGCTTGAAAGGTGTTGTATGTGCATAAAAATTTCTCTATTGTGAAATAATAATTAGATTGATTATGGAAACACTCCTCCTTCAGTGTCCTCTTGGTACTTTAGCACTTTCTTATCCATTATGTACAAATGCACTGTGGTATTTTTGCTTCTGTTATTGCTGTTATGCATCTTTTGGAAGTTACTGTAGTATTTGTTGGCCAACTACTGAGTCTATAAGACTTGAAGGGGGGGAAAGTTGGTGCCTGAACACTAGGTGTAAGTTTCTGAGAACCCCAGTTACCTCTAAATGTAATGTCTTTTCCAAAGTAGGCTTGAATTTTCTTGTAATGGCTCAATACATCTTAATTCAACTATCATTTGTAAACCATTAGTTTATGGTCTGGCTGCAGATATAATTCCTTAGTGGCAAAAGCGGTTGATTGACATCTTCCCTAGCTTTGTGCTCATGAGGCTGTGCTTCATCTCAGGGAAGTGAGAGGTGATGATGTGCCAGAACACTTGCTGGTCTTGGATGACAGAATTGTGTTTCGTTCAGCTCCAGTAGTGAGAAAAAGCCTACGTTTTATTTGCTTCAATTCCTCCCCGCCTTCCCTGTTACCTGTACTTGTTTTTTTTTTTTTTTTTTCCCCCCAAGTGCCTCTGTGAGCATGCATGTATGGCATATGCAAAACAATAGCTGGAAACTGTTAAGAGAACTGTAGGAAACTCAGTTGAAAAGGCACTAGAAAAATGATGAGGATTGCATTGCAATGTGTTCTGAATTCCCCTAGGTGTCATGTTATAACTCTTCTGAGCCTTTCTCTGCAGAGGCAGATTGTGTTTCAATTCATGTTCATCCAAGATAAATAGCTGTATTGCTTGAGGAAATATTAATTTTTGAGGAGAAAAAAGGTCTTGGACATGACAATGCAAAAACATAATTAAAAGGTTGTGCCCTCAAACCATAAAATGCACATATTTTTCCTATATTGTCTGATGGGTTCAAAAAGAATTGAGAATGTTTGCTTTGGCTTTTCACACAGCCTTCCATTTGGAAACAGTTATGAATGTGGGACTTGTAGCGAACAGGTTTGTAAGATGCTTTTCTTTTTTTTTTTTTTCCTCTCATGGCAGACCCCACAGGCATTTGCCCACCTCTTCTTTCTTGGCTGCCTCTTTCTACCCCCCATACTGACACTTGACCCTCATCCTCAGCTCTTTGCAGCAAACAGTACATGTGGTGACATTTTTCTTGGCAAGAACAAGGACCAGCCTTATGACTTGCCTTCCCACAGCCTTCTGTCTCCCATGTCTTTTTAAGTATCATGTGTCCTGAGCTTGCTGGCCTCAGGGTGCTTGAGATGTGGGAAGAGGAATAGCATCTTCCTACAGCGTGTTTTGTCTCTGGGTCATTCTGTATTTTTATCATTCCTTTTGTATTTTTACCTCTCAATATCACTGCATTGCAACGGTTAAAGAGGAAAGGTGGCACTGGATTAGCGTGGGATTAGTGTTCTTGTCCAGTACTAGTGTCCCTGTGTGCAAGCTGAGAAAAGCTTTATTTACACTGATTTGGATCCTTTGTCCCCTGAGTTGTCTGTCTTTCTATTACACATGACAGAAAATAGCCCTGATTCTCTCCCCTTTCTTGCCTGTTCTGTTCAAACAGAATTAAAGCAGTGTATCAATGTATTGGCCTACTTTATTTCTCCAAGAAATCTCTTATGATGGATATGGGGAATGCAATTAATTCTGAAAAGGTTAAGACTCAAACCCCTCCTCTGAGTGTGAAACACTGAAATATCAGGCTTTTGACAGATGCAAGACTAAATGAGAAAATGGAGTATTCCTTAGGATTTGGAAGGGGAAATGCAATGTCGTTATATAAACCAAAGGGAAATCTCTGTAGGGATTAAATCACCTAAGGTCTGTCCTTGAGTCTCTTGCTAAAGGCGGGTGTAGCTGCTGTGGGTGGGTGTCTTGTGCTACTGGCCATGATGTTGGCACTGAAATAAAATGATCAGGGTTCAGACCATTATGAAATTTGCTTGCTGATGTTTGTCTGAGTCCGCAATATGGCAGAAATAACAAGCTATATATATAAAATCATCTGGCTCATAAGACAATATTAAAGACCCAGAGATGCGGTTTGTTCTTTCTGTTCTCTGATGCCTACATCAAGACAGGTGTAGTGGCAGAGCACGGTGTATAATAAACTACACTGCTGTGACTACTGTCCTATAGTTAAGAAATTTTGTGTATTTGTTATACACGTTCCATTAAGAAATGAAAACGAACGTTTATTTTTTGCATAATTTGGATACTTCAGTTGTAATACATACTTCTCACATGCTTCACAGTGGTGTTACAGGTCATCTTGAATAAGTGCAAAAAAACCCCCCCTCTATCAGCAGGTAGTAACAACCGAACCCTAACATTGCCCTTCTCTCTGTATCTCTTCAGTACTTCTAGCCTAGGCAAAATGTGCTTACCTCAAATTATATGCAGGACATATTGTTGCAAATTCTGTGGCTACCCTTCTCACTTCCTCTGAGAGAGCAACTCTCAAGAAGCTTATGTCCTTTCACAGGAAATTTAAATAGAGCATCGGCTGTGGGCACTTACTATAAATACGACAAGACACATGTTGCTTTGCTGTATTCTGACATTACCTCTGTACAACCATCCAATCCAACTAACTAGAGGGAATTAATAAGAAGATCAGAATGGTGATATAAAATGTTAGAAAAATAAGCACAAGACTTCTAAAATACATGTAAAATCTGCCAGAGATCCAGTGCAAGTTTCTCATAAGAAAGCTGTGTTGCTCTCTTAAGAGTGGTTGTAGGACACAAGATGCTGCATTTTGAACCATTTACAGTAATGATGATGCAAGCAGGAAGGATGGTTCTGAAAATGCTTAACCAAATATAAATTCTGAGTCTTTCATTGTTGAGAGGAGGTGTCAAATAATATTGCATAGCTGGTGGTTGAAGACCAAACAGTGAAAAATCCTGGTTGCTCATGGCATTGCTTGTCTGTGTTGCTGTTGAAGAGACCATCATGGGGCCAGGAATTCTCATTGACTTAAATCAAATTTCTCCTGAGTGAGGCCTGATCTAATGGATGACAGCTCTAGCTACAGGTGAAGATTGATAAAACTGTACATTAACTGGGCAACAAAATTGTGATATGTATCATGCTTGCATTAAATCTAAACGTTAATGGATGTAAATTTTAAGATTTCTTCTTGGATCTAATGGGATGCCAGAGAAAGTCTGTGTAGCTGTGCCTTTCAACATGCTGAGAGTAGTTGGATTGTGTTATTTTCCACTTCAGTTTTCTCCTCTGTGGTGCTGTAGAGCCACAGACTGTATTGCCAGCAGACATGTTTTGGTCTTGGTTGATACCCGGTTATACCTTGTAGTATTTCTGCTCACCTCTGCAAATTATTAATGATGTGCTCTTTTGAGTGATATTCAGGGGCATAAAATTAACCGTGCTGCTTTTGTTTTTGTTTTGTTTTCCTTTTTAGCAAGATCTTAAAAAGTTTAGAAGCAGAGAGAGTGTATTAGTAGAAATCCTGGGCTGTCCGGTGAACTGCTTTTCCTGTGATATCTGTCAGAACATGAATGATGTTTCCTCAGTTTTCAGTTCCCTCCTGCCCCACGTTACCTGTCACTGTTTTATTTGGCTGCTGGCGGGGAAAGGTCTCACTGAGAAGGGAAGGAGGATGGCTCTGATGGTGCTCCTCATCATGTGAAACAGTGGGTCTGTTTGCCTTGGGCAACCTACACCTCCATTTGGGTGGGGGGCTATTTCTGCCACCTGGACCTCCTGCTTTTCCCTCTTCCCTTCTGCTCCTTGAGCTGCAAAGGCAGGACAGAAGCAGCTCATGTCATGAAATGTCTTGTTTGGCCATTCTCCAGGGTTTTTCCCCCTC